ATTAGTATATAGCACAGCTCTGAAACACCAAAACAATATTCGTACACTCCTAAACGGCCGCCATGTTGTATATAAAAATATACGGTTAAAAATTAATTTTTGCAAAATTGCAACATTCCATTGTATACCAACAACCAATCATATTCATTTTTGAGATGGATTATCCCAGAGCCTTCGTTTCCTTCCCAAGGATCGCAGGCTCGGGGAACGAGATTGGTGAGCCAGATGAAGTAAAAACAATGAAGTTCATATATGTCCATAAATTTTGATACCTGAACAGCAACATTGAATAAAATCATTCTGTCCCAAAATCATCTATCTTCCTTAAGTTTAGGACTCTGAGACCAATGAATATATTGTCATTCAAGGATTAGAAACAATGAAGACAAGTGTTATGGTCAAACAAACGAAAATATTCATGTCCACAGGCTGCAACACGCAGTGTTGACACATTATCCTGAAGTCGACAAAATGTCGAAATCGACGAAAAACGAGCCAAGAAACAGTTATTGAGCTAATCAATCAAATAAATACTTGGCATAAGTTTGAAGGTCCATAGTCCAAATATTTGACGAGTTTCTTTAGCCCATTTATACCAGCAAAATTTTAAAAATTCCCTGTATTTAGATACGAACCATATTGATCGCCACGCTGTTTAGCAAGAAATCGACATGTAAACTTGTCCCGGCCCAGAAGTGTCCTCTTTACTTGTACACAGGATGTTAATAAGTTAATGTGAAAATATGAAGATAAAAGTATCTTTTAAAAAATAAAACCTCTCAAACCTCGATTTGAAAGGCTTTTAAAAACGCTAATCCGTTCGAAACCTACAAATTCGAGGGGTGGTATTTAAGTTTGCTCAAGGCAAAGTTTGAAGACATCTTCGCAATCACGCAATTAATCAAAAATCGCCACGATGAAGTTGCGGAGAATTCTTTTAAGAACAACATATATCAATTTCATGGCAAAAAAACAAAAAAACGCTTGCAGACAAAGCTCTGAAGTAGCCCCATATGTTTGTTTACAAATTTCATGTGATGAAGCGTTTTACGCATTCTGATTGGCTTAGGGAAAAATGTAAACAAAAGCGCTGATTGGTCGAGAACGAAATTCCCCTTTGTTGGCTCACCAACGATGTTTCGGTGGGTGGTCATCCTCACTGATCTCAACTTTTGTGGCGGACTGTCATGAATAGCGAACACTGTAAAGTTTGCATTATAACGACTGTATGACGACAGCGAAATAGCAAACATTTCTTGATTTGATGATTGATTAATTTCTTGCAAATATATTTAATTTTTGCTCGCATTTTTGCAAGATTTTGTAAATTTCAAAAGCTTTCTCAGAAAGAAAGGGCGAAAGAATCGGCTAAAAGAAGGGAGCCGACGTTAACGAAGGTAAGTTTGTTTTAAATATTAATTTTATAATTGCTTTAAAAGCCGACGGCCCTCGCGTATATGAAACAACTAAACAAGACAGCATATAATTCCAGTGCATCTTTAATATTGATTCCCTTTTTTATTATATTGAATTTTTTAAATAAAAAAGAAAGCAAAGTAAGTTATTTGCATGCAAGAATTTGAAATCATTTTATTGCAAACTCAAAGTTTATCGATAGAGCCAATTAATTAAGGCAGTTTAGTTTTATAAAGAACACTTTAAAACGTTTTGCGAAGCATTTGTGGTTGAATTTTATCTTAAATTGAAGCTTATATTATGTATAATAACATACCTAACATATATATGTTGGGAAATCGATAATTTTGTAATTAAAAGTGATATTTTTTGGTGATTTTTCATTTCTAAAAATATTCTTAAAAAATTATCGTGTTACCATGACAACTACTTTAGATACTTCATGTTTGGAAAATGCAATGGTTTTGTCAGCAAGGCGAGCTGAGGGTTTCTGCATGCATGTATTTTCCAGCACACTGGACTAATTACGCATTCAGTTGAATCTGCCTGGCAAAGCAGAACGACGTCGACATTTTCCTTTCAATCTTCATCCAAATTTAACCAAAATTTAATCAATTTGTCCATGGGCAATTAATGTCCGTTAGTCCTACACATTTTCGTATTAACACGTTTGATATTTTTAAGTTATCGTGCTGATAACGCAGACACAAACACATACAAAAACGCGGATGAATACTAACCTGAGTATCAGGCCCTCGGTATTGAAAGAGGGCCTGACACGAATCGCCTCAAAAGCCATGTTCAACATCCAGAATCTGGATGTTATGCTGATTGGCTAAGAGACGATAAAACGCATCATGTGATTCAAACCGGAAATATATGACCGGCGTATGTAAACACCAAAAATAGAATTTGTAATTTTGTCAATATACTGTTAAAAGTGCTTTATTTCTGAAATTTATTTTCAATTAATTAAGCCTAAAAATGACAAAATAAGTACGAAAAGACGTTGAAAACGCTTTTGCAGCAACATTTTACTCGGTATAAAACTAAAACTACATAGTCATAGTAGAAAGCGTGTCTAAATATCTCGCCGTAATAGTCGCCGTAGAACGAAAATATGTGGATGTCGGGAATTTTCAAATATTTAGTTCCAAAAAGCTGAAGCCTTATTTATCAGTTTATTGCCGAGCTGTTTTCCAAGACCTGCAAGGATATAGTAGTCAGCTCGCTCGAACTAATATGCCAACATCAGGCAGAAATTGAAGACAATAGCCGCTGTGTCAGACGCAGTTGAACAGAATAGCTGTCTCGAACACACTATTAACATGACACGAGGACCGAGGAAGAAGAAATCCTATTCAGAGCGCCGAATGTCGTCTCTTTAGACTCCTGGAAAAAGCCATCGAGCTATGGTTCCCCGAATAAGGCATAGTTTACGCTTAGAATTCCATCATGTGGATATTTCGACAAAAACATACCGATTTTTCTCCGTATTTATTCAAATTTATATAAAACTGCAAATAACGAAATTTGCGTATTTACATACCTGTAGCGGACAACCGGAAATATGCTACAACCGGAAATAATTTTAATTGGCTGATATTCTGGGGGTGGAAAGCCCGTAGAGGCGAATTGTGTCAGGCTCTCTTCAATACCGAGGGCCTGATACTCAGGTTAGATGAATACATAACCTCATAGCGGGCGTAATACCTGAATTAAAGAAGGAGGAATCTCAGTTGTCCTTGAAATTGCTATTAAATACCCCAGACATAGTTTTTGCTCCACACCCTGGTGTGTACTCTTGTCCAATACGGGTTAGATATACTTTGGAAACAATTCGGAAGGCAGATATATGCGTGGGCAACCTCCACATATTACTATTTTGTGAACACCATTCCACTAACAAATATAAAGATTCACAAACCTGATAAAGTTATATTAGTTTGAAGACCAACATTTGTAAACTCCATTGCGCATGTTGATATATTTTTATTTTCGCACAATGCAAACATGTATGACCTAATATCGCTCATTGTATCTTCAAATCCTGACCAGTGAGCATAGATTGTATCGCCACTTCTAACGTAATCCGTATTGTTATTCTGACCAACAACAATAATTCCAGGACTAGGTGATGTGTAATCAATTGTTACTCCGTCAGAGACCATAGTGGTACTCAATCCAGCGCTATTCACTGCAGTCAACGTGACGTAATATTTATTCCCGTCTGCGGCAGGTTGCTGGAGGAATGAAGAAATTTTGGTGGCATTAATATCGATCAACGTGGTTTCTATTCGATCACATGATCCAGGCCCTGATCCGATACACCAACTAAGCGTCACGATGTCACTTTCTGGGTCTTCAACTTTAAACCAAGAAGCAGATAGCTGGTCCCGATTTTGTTGATAGTCAATATCTTCACCACTTTCGGAACCATCGAAAATTTCACCTGGAAAAGGAGCTGCAAGAAAACAAAAGATGCTATTAAAATATCGCTACATTCGTATTTTTTTGTTTGCCTTTCGTTTTTGAAAAAGAACGTCAGCTGCCAGTAGTGAAATGACGAATGCCAGCGGGCAAAATGACGTTTATCCAACGTTGAATCAACGTTGGAAATGACCTTCCAGACGTTGGATAGACGTTGAAAAAGGGTTGACTATGCAAATTGGATAAACGTTACTGTTTCGACGTTGAAACAACGTTGAAATTAGGTTGCCAATCTCGTCAACCATAATTCAACGTTGAATCCACGTTAAAACAACGTTGAGATTGGTTCACAAATCGACGTCGTACATTTAACCATGAATGAACGTTAATTCAACGTCGGTTGGCTGCTGTTGAACCAATGTTTGTAAAACAACGTCAGAGCAACGTAGATATTCGTTTGTCGACGTCGCAACCTTTTTTCTACCAAATTTCAACGTTGAAACAACGTTGTGTGCCCGGTGGGCTGTGGATATAATATCAAACTGTGGATACGCTGTATTCGCCTCAATTTGGTAATTTACAGTACTTATGCTTACTCTCGGTTATTAAGCAGTTAACACTATTTCTGCATATGACCATGATTTGAAAATGATCAGATAATCAAGTCTAGATAGTAAAACATACATGTACCTGTTCTGTCCACTGTAAATGGGTCTGAGGCAATATAATCCGTGAAAAGACCAGCATTGTTTACACTCTTTATGGAAACAAAATACTCTTCAGTATTGACTAAACTCAAATTATACCAAGTGTACTGTGACGCTGTGCCGACAGAAATCGGCTCTTTTAAATCACACAAACGAGGTTCCCTTCCAATACAGATAAGATATTCTAAAATGCCACTTTCTTTGTCCGAAAACCTTTTCCAGCGTGCTAATATGCTCGACGAGATAAAACTATATTTTTCTCCCAATGGATTCGATGCAATAACTTCACCAACATCTGGCTCCGTTGTGTCGACAACGAAATTTGAGGATTTAGAAGTGGAACTGAGTCCAACTTCGTTAGTTGCTGTAATAACAACGGTATAAATTTCTCCTTCGGTAACAGGCGGTTCTTCAATACATATGGATGTTTTGTTGTTGAGATTTCGACGCGGAATAGGACAGTTGTCCCTCTTCACTTTCGGGCACAAAGAAAAGTGGTAGCTTATAATAGCAGTTTCAGTTTCATTGAAAGTATTCCATGATGCGCACAAAGATTCTTTGCTCCTAAGGTATATTGCGTTGCTACCTATCGTACTTGGTGACGTAATTTCAACCTGAAAATATATTTCGACATGGTTCAATTCTTCTTATTATTCTTATTGAGGCTTAACTAAAACCGTGCTTCGATTGCGAATTGCCTTCAAAGAACCAAGGTAAATTGCATGTAACGGTTATATTTCAACCACGATTTAAGTTATTTCAGGCATTATATAATTATAATTATAATGCTATATTTATGTATGGTTTTGACGTTTGGTATATGAATATGCAAATTTGCTATACTTAAATTAACGAATTAAAACACATTAAATTTTTAATGTTACATGTTACGTTTTCAATCTTTCCACTTACCCGTTGAGAAAGTACTAGTATTAATATTTTCAAAAGTTAGCCATAATATTTCTACTACTTTTCCGAGACTAAAAGGAATGCAAACATCCTTAAATTAAAACACCAGAAAGGGTTAATACGATACCAACAAGTGAATAGAATAGAATTAGTCGCATTAACTTTTGCTTTCAAACAAATTCTGTATGTAAGTCTTGGTAGTTAATACTTACATTGCCTGCATTAGGTGGCGTAGTATCCACCAGCACTCCATCCGAATATACTTCTGTCGCTCGACCAGCTTTGTTATATGCCCACAAAGTCGAGTACACTACAGTTCCTGAACTAATTGCTGGCTTAACATTCAGTTTTGCTGCAAGGCCATTGTTCACCGTGATCGGAGAGACTAAATCACACGCTCCCATAACGGTTCCTGCGCAAACGACATATTTTGAAATTCCAGACTCTGGATCGTGAAATTCATCCCAGTTGATGCTAACAAATATGTCCTGTACCGAAACGTCTGTGTCGAAATCCTCGCCGTCTCGAAGAATAGTACCAATTGGTGGCGTAAGGTCTATAATAATTCCATTTGATGAAGCAAACCCGGTCTGACCAGCTTTATTTCTAGCACGTACCGTGCTATAGTATGTGGTATTGTGAGTAAGATTTAAATTGTTCACAATCGTACTGGTAGCCAAGCCAACGTTCTTGAACTGCAAAACATCGCAAAAACCCGGAAATGAACCGATGCAGATTTCATAGCGAGAAATTCCACTTTCTTTGTCTTGAAAACCTTTCCAACTGGTAGAAATGTCTCTGGGTGAACTTTGATAATGCTTGTCTTCAGATGGGTTTGGTCCAGTGAATACTCTGCCTGTTTCTGGAGCAGTTTTGTCAATAATAAACGAATTTGAAACTGATTCAGTTTGTAGTTCTGCAAAATTTACAGCTTTGACCACAAATTTGTATTCTTTGCCATGGTGGATCCCTATATCACCTACAGCAACGCTATTCTTCAAACCAACACTTACAAACTCAGTAACACAGTCAGAAAGTTTGCTTGCAAAACAAATTTTCCACTCATATTCCTTAACACCAGTTTCAAAGTCTTTAAAGCCCCACCATGAGGCAGACAGTGAATGGCCTTCCTGCAACAAAACCAAACCTTCTTTGCCGGCAATTTTGACTAAACCTTTGACAGGAGGACTGTTGTCCACAAGAACGCTATTTGAATTCATGATTATCTTCAAACCAGCTCCATTTTCAACCAGAAGTCTTAGCATAAGGACGGTTCCAGATTGCAATGGCTTCTCAAAATCAAGACTGAAAACTAAAGAGTCGGGGTCAACATCCAGCCATGTAAGTAAATCACAGTCGTTCTTAATCGTGGTTGCACATACTGATACGCGTTTTATTTCGCTTTCTTCGTCGATGATGTAATCCCATGTGCCGGATATCTGCCACTGGTTTGTTGAAATAACATTGAAGTCAGAAGTAATGTTTCCGTTTGTAGTGCTTTGATCAATTGTGATCGAAGACATTATTGAGAAACCCTGGACAACAGGCGGAGATGTGTCTATTGTTACTCCGCTGGACGAAGAAGTTGTTGACAGCCCAGCACTATTAATGGCGGTTACGGTTACAAAATAGGTTTGGCCATGTTGAAGTTGTACTTCTGCTTCCGCACGTAAGTCCAGGCCAGCAGAGGTTCGGTTTAGAACATTGCAAAAGTCTACAGAATAAATACATACAAAATAGATATATTTAATAGCAAATTTCCCAAAATGTAAGCTTATAATAAGTACAGGTAATAGCATGGTTTCGAGTGCAATTTGGATGTAACAAGCACGAGTGAGTTTTTCAAAGACCTCAAAATATATTTGAGATCTTTGAAAAACTCACGAGTGCATGTTTATCCAAATTCACGAGAAACCATGCTGTTACTTATTAATAATTTACATAAAAAATGTTCGAGACAATTGTAGTTTTATCTTACGCGTTTATAGCGAACATTCCACTGGAAAAGTTTTCCTGGCTTTGTTATGTCACATTATACAACGCTAACAGCTTGAAAATTCCACTCAACTATATAACTTTTGTTAGTCTTGTTTAAGGTAAATGCTTTTCCATTTAAAAATAAAGATAAAAGCCATATTTTCCACGCGAAGGCAACTTTTACTTTGTGTAGCGCGGCGCCAAATTTGTTTTGTTTTGAAGCAATCTGTGACCGTTACTTCTTCAAACTAAATCGCTTTAAACTGCTTGGTTGATTTAATTAATCATCACAATGTTTTTCCACCAATCAGATCAGTTTGTTACGGATTTTTGCACTGTGATAACAGAAAATTGCACTGCTGTTTGGGATTAACTGCACTGAAATCAACCAATCACAGTCGAGTAATATCTTTATGTATATTATTAGCTTATATAAGCATGTCAATAATATATATATTTAAATTTTATTATTTTGAACTAAGCATATAAACATACGGCAAAACACATTAAAGAGGGAGAATATTTTTAACTTCACATTTGTATTAATTTCATTTTAGTATTTTATATTAGGCTACAAATGAAAGCATGCAAATAATGCCGAATGTTTCCATTACATGCATTTGCTACTGATATACAATATGCTCAATACATGTCGTGAACAATTTGGTCACTCTGATCAAAACCATGGCCATGCACCGAGTTAACCAATGTAAAGCAGTTGTGGTAAATGTTTTATAGAGAAAATCTTCAGAAATTGCAAAATCGCACCGGTAGGATTATAAAGCGCTCTGACTTTGAAACTAATACTCAATTGAGGTTTTGGAAAAAATAGATCACGGTTGGAAGGCAAATAATTTAAAACAGTGTTGATTTTTAAGGTAGTAATAATGATGCACCTTCCAATCTGACATCCCAGTTTACTAGGAGGGATGAATTGCATAACTACAACGTGAGAAGTAGTATTTTAAATTTAGGGATTCCAAAACCAAATAGTCTTGCCTATAGTGGAGCAGTTGCCTGGAATTCCTTGGATGACTCATCAAAAGCATGCACAAATTTTTCTTGTTTCAAAAGCATGATTTAAATAATCAGTTGCTATACTGTGAAGCCAATATTTTTAGTAAATTGGTTTTATTCAACAGCTACGTCTTAGTTTTATAGTTTATTTTTTCTTATTACTTTTAATCTAATTTTAACACGCGTGGGAAGAGAATTTTGTAATTATTATAGTGACGAGAATCCATGTTGAATAAACTTCATAAAGTTCACAAATCGATCTTTACCTGGTCTATTCCCGATACAGTATAAATACTCCACAATGTTACTTTCTGCGTCAGGAAATTCATTCCAATTGGCCGATATATGTTCTACATCCAACTGAAAATCAATATCATCCGTTCCATTACCATCACGGACGACGTTTGGCGTTGGTGGCAGCCAATCAACAACTATTTGCGGGGAACTTATTCTCGTCTCGAGTCTCAAAACATTCACTCCAAGTACGGTGACGTAGAACACAAGCCCGTGAGTTAGGTTGAAATTTATTTCATCCAGATTCAGGAAATACGTACTTCCATTAAGATTGCTAAAGGAAAACAAATCATCACAATTCGGAAAGGTGCCGATACCAAACTGAAATTCCTGCAGCGCGCTTTCGCTTTCGTACATAGACCATGACACGATTGGGGCAGAAGTCCCGGTAATATAAATTGTCCTTGTGCCTTTTGAACCAGCAATCTGCAATATCCCCGCATTAGGTGCTGTACGGTCAACTGTAAAACCATCTGAGATGGCGGATACGATTTCGTTTCTTTGATTTACCACTTCGACTTTAACGTTATAACGCTGTCCATGTAGCAAGGAAACGTTGTGAAATCTGTGCGTGGTAACTTTAAGTGGCGGATTAACAGATGATAGCGAACTCAAACAGTTAAACGTGTCGTTCTCGATGCTCGCAAATAGTCCATAACACCAAGCATACTGTTTTAGTCCATATACCGGGTCTTCAAATCCTGCCCAATGAAGCCATAATGCTTTATCATCAAGTTGAAAATCAATATCTTGGTCTAAAGGCCCGTCGGATACCACACCAGGCGTTAGCTTTCCAAGCTTAACTCGTACTCCATCTGAGCAATTTGTAGTGGACAGTCCAGCTCCATTTGTCACCCTTATACATATATAGTATATTGTGTCTGTGTGTATGGTCTGATCTTTAATAATATAACTATTAGTGGAGCCTGTAAACTGGAGATCGGTGAAAAAATTGTCACCAAGTGCAATTGTTTCTTCTTTAACCAGTCCTACGGCCCATTTGTACGATCTCATACCACTTTCTTGATCGATAAAGCCACTCCATCTGACAGGAAATGAAGCACCGTCGGTCATGTTTGGACTACCATCGTAATTTTCTGGTAGCACAAAGTCTGCCGACACACGGCCAGCTGAAGGTGGAGTTTGATCAACAACCACACCATTTGACACAGACAATGTTGATATTCCAGCACTATTAATGGCTTTAAGATAAACATAGTACGTTTCACCAAGCTTGAAAGATATGTCAGAAATTAGGAGTTCTGCAGCATTTTGTGAAATTTCAGTGAAATTCTCAGGATTTTCAACATTCGGAGATGCATTAAGAGACCAGTACAGGGCTTTTATACCACTCTCATGATCGAAAAGCTCCCAGACAACTTGCAATGCGTCGCCGTGAACGTTGTATGATGATATTATGCTACGAAATGTGGGGGCAGTCGTATCAATTGTAACACCAGAGGACCAGTACTGGCTGGTAAGGTTAACGTTATTGGTGACCCGAAGACCAGTTTGGTAGTGGCCACCCTGCTCAAGTTTAATGAGTTGTTTTCCAAGACCATCAACGACAACGAGAGATGCTAAATCGGGATTCGTTTTCACACTATGGAAAGGAACAACGTATTGGGATGTGTTAAGGTTTTTTATGGCAAACTCGTATTTAAAAATTCCAGTTTCTGCATCCTTGCAATTAGCATAAAGAAACAACTTAGAAGTTAGGCCGCTAAAGCTGGTTCTAGCCCCGTCTAGAGTGGCATCATATATACTTGTACAAATAGGTGCAGTTCCGTCAACAAGAAAAGCGTTGCTGACACCAGTAGCACTAAGTTCTGCGCCATTGAAAGCTATGACCGAAAGCACGTAGCGTTCTTTATGCGTTAAGTCGCTCGGTCTTAGATTGAAAAATTCGGAGATTTTATGTCCAGGAAAAACCCATGGATCGACGACCCGTGTGTTATTTTGCATGTGGTGGATAGAAACAGTGTATCTAACGATATTGCTTTCAAAGTCTTTAAATTTCCAGTTCCCAGTCACGAAAGAACCTAGTCCAATAGTCCTAGGCGAATCGTGATAACGGTTATTGCCGATGTACACATATTTCAATATTGGTGGGGTAGAATCAATAATAATACCATCACTAGACATTGAAGTTTGTAAACCCACGTTGTTTACGCATTTCACTGATGAAAAATACCTAAGGCCTTTTGTCAGGTTCAAGCCATCAAAGTTGTAGGAGTTTTGGTACGGTAATACGGCACGATACTTAGCAATATCTTGTATACCAGGTTGTGTGCCAATTCCGACAAAGACCTGTCTCAACCCACTATCTTTGTCTTCACATTTCCAGTTTGCTGACAACGACGTTAAATTTCTCGAATAATCAAAGTCAAATTCAAATACGGTTCCATCGGATACTGGCGATAGAAATACAGGAGGCGTAATTTCAATCAAGACTCCATCAGAGATTGCAACATCGCTTCTAATTCCCAATATATTGTAAGCGACAACTTGCGCATAGCATACCACACCATTCTTCAGTTCTGAAACTAAGAGATTTGAGCTGGATGTTGAAGTAACTAAACCAACATCTGTGAATGGTTGAACGTTGGAATCATTTGGACTTGTGCCGAATGCTAACTCGTAGTGATGAATAATAGTTTCACTTTCAGAAAATCCTGACCAACTTGCATAAAGAATATTTGTTTCAAGCTGGTAATCTATATCATTCCCTCCTTGTCCGTCTGTTACTGTGCCTTTTCTAGGCGGACTGGTGTCAGTTAATGCTCCATTGCTCCAGAAGTTGGCATAGTTACCAGCTTTGTCTTCTATTCCAAGGTAAGCATAACAATATATGCCTGAGTGTAGGGATATATTTGTGAACGTATGCGACAGTGCTTTTGTAGAAATTGTTACCTTGGGATGTAGATTACAATTGTTTTCATCCAGAATAGAACTTAAGCATACTTCAATTTTCTCGATTCCAGAAATATCGGAAACTACGTGCCAGTGCATGCGGTAAGTATTTGCAAATGGATGATATTGAGAATCCTGAATACCCCAACCATCAGAAACGCGAGATACCAATGGAGGTTTGCTGTCGAATACTAAAGGTGGCGATGAAACAATCAGAAATAATCCCGCAGCATTTGCGCTTTTAACTGTTATGTAATACTTCCGTCCGTTTATTAAAGATTTTACGTCCGTTGATGTCCAATTAACGCGAATGACGTTTGCAACGACATTGATTTCATACTTCGTGAAGGATATAATGTCATCTCCTTCGGGAAAAGTAGACACGCCAACACTGTACGAAACAACGTCCGAAATATCTTCAGTAATTTCAAAGAATGCCGTGAACAGATAGTCTTTCGCACGAGTATACATAATTTGTTCATTTTCCTTGCCATGGTAAAGTTTGACAATCTTTGGAGGGGTGGTATCAATGATGAAAGATTTAGATATGGCATTAGAGCTACCTCCAGCACGATCTTCGGCCTCGACAACTACAGAAAACACGCCGTTTGGCATCACCACATGAACTCCCCCGGAAACAACACGACCTACGGTTTTTATCGGTGTTAGCATTTTAGCTGTGTCATAAGAAAGCACAGTTAAACCAAAGCGCCTTATTCCTGAATGTTCGTCATAGAAACTTAACACGTCGCAAGTATCAGACGAAGCACTAAGTTTACTTCTATCTGCTGTACACCACTGCCATCGAGCCCATGCCGCTTTGTTAATCCATGTTATTTCCAGTGGTGGTCCTTTCTGACCAGCTATGACTAAACCAGTATGTGGTGGAATAAAATCTACTACTGCTCCATTGCTGCTGCCATTTACACACATACCCACTCTGTTGCATGCAATGACGGTAACATAATACGTCACTCCACTCTCAAGGCTATTGCCACGAAGTGAAGCTTTCGTACTCAAATTGTAACTTCTGAACGTTGACTTGTCATCTAAACCTGGAATCGATCCCAGTCCTACGAAATACTCCCCAATTCCACTTTCTGTGTCCGCAAACGCGTTTTCCCAATGCGCTGGAAATACGTCGAATTCCTTGCTGTACTTTCTGTCTATCCCTTGCAGGCCATCTCTGATGTAAGTCGATAAAACTGTGGGCGCTGTTGTATCCATGAGTATTCCGTCTGAGGAAATGGTTCTTCGGTAACCTACCATGTCTTGGACTTTGATTGTGACGTGATACCTGCTCAGTTTCGTTATGTTAACATTAACAAATGTGACCCACGTGGTCTTGAGGTCTTCTGACACTTTTAGTGATAAATCTCTTATATCGACGAATGAGTGGACGTTTCCTCCGCCCGGGTATGTTCCTACGCCAGCTTGGATCGACTGGATACCGCTGTCGTCATCATAGCAGGAGAACATCGCTGTGAGATTAGTAAGACGGGAAACAAAATCTCTGTCAACAACATCGTTGAAACCAATTACGTCACGCGGTAACCCCTCGCATACTGGAATCGTATCGTCAGGAATAATGCCAGAAACGTTAACAACTGCATAAAGGCCAGCAGCATTTGTGCCTTTCAGTACGGCGGTATATCTTCCTCCAGACGTTAAACTTAAGCCATCAAGCAATGGAGACGTTTGTGTCAACGGTATTGTTGTGAATGATGTCACTTCCTTCCCAACGTTCTCGTCAATTAGTTTCCACTCGTAGTGAACTATAGGACTCTCGTTGTCTATAAAGCGTTCAAATTTCCCAGAAATTCGACGAACAGAAGGGATAAATTTTGTACCCTCTTTTCCGACTGTGAAGTTACGTGGTACTGGTGGGGTAGTGTCTATGGTTACACCATCACTGCAAGCCACTGTAGCTAGCTCTAACTGATTAACGACAATTATCCGGGTATAAAACTTTGATCCACTTGTCAGATTTAGCCCCGTCTTCTTAATAGTATAACTCTCACCAATATTTTGCAAAGGAAGAACATCAGCTTCACTTTCAGAAAATGTACAAGTTGCTGATGATGAGATCCCCCATTTAATGCTAGACATATCTGCAAGTGTTCCAACAAAGCCATATTTTATCGCAAGACTGGTGGCATCCTTTTGATAATCAATGTCGGTCGAAGAATCCCCGTCGTTAATGAAAGTTATAACGGGTGATTTGCGTTTGGCAGTAAATACTGGACAGTGAGCGACATCACTTTTCAGACCACCACCATTAATTGCGTACACACCAACATAAACAGATCTGCCATGCATAATTTCCAGATCGGGTACTGTAAGACTTTGGCGTACTCCGTGTATAGAATAATGGTCATCACCAGATCCAACGATTGAGCCGATGGCAACAATGTAAGCTTCAATTTTCGTATCTTCGGTAAAACCTTGCCATTGAATGATGTATTTTTTATTACCGACCTGTTTGGCATCACATACCCCTACGCCAGGGCGTGTATTATCGACGTCGGTTTCACAATTGTCGAATAAAGTTGCATGAACAGATCGCAACGACCATGTCCATTCTGCAAAAGTATTTTTTGAGCACCAATTAATTGAGATACGCAACGAAAACCACGGCTTGTAACTCATTTCAACACAAAGTCTAAAGCGATACCAAAGATATACACGAATACTTAAGGGAGTCATTTGCATTTTAAGCTGTATACAAGCGTTTAATGGCCATTTGTCTATACGTATAGATAGTTCTGGGATAAGATAAGTTTGCAAAAGTGTCGCCTCTATAGTAATACCAGCTTCTACGATTATCAATGGCACACTTGCCCCAGCATAAACAGTAAGCCACACACCAGGTATGAGAGCAAGACGCACTTCTCTGTCTCGCAAACACAATGATATTCTAAAATTTGCGTAGTAATACAAATCTGCTCCGAAGAAAATGTACACGGGTATGCCAAATACTGGAACGGTAAAGCCCACTTCGGGAACAATTGGAAGAGACCCTGTATAAAAACATTAAGAGACACTATAAATATCCATTAATATGACTTACGAAACTCAAAGTAGTATAAATTCAGTGAGCCATTACTAGTTTAACAATTTCCTTAGGTTTTGAGAAAGATAGGGATTTTGGCTTTTGGACGAAAATTTTCAAACTTGCACAAACTGAAAACAAATCTTACGTTTTACAACTGAACCAGGTAATAGCATTGGAATGCGGTGCCTTAGAGAATGCGCAAAACATGTGCATCACAAACGCGAAGGCATACTACCAAGGCCAACTTAAGCAACGTTCTTGTCAGTACGGACGTCAGAGTGCCAAGGAGGGACTGGATTAAAAACTGTGTTGGTGTCAGTTTGTGGTAATCTTCAACACATATGGAAAAACATAAGATTTCTAAAGTTTTTGTATCTGCGAAGCAGATATATGCTATCGCAAACGTGACCGTACCGTACCGTATGTTAACACATAGCCATTCAGCGACGAGCTTATGTAATTTAAGCCAATTTAAGCCAATCAGCGATTCGTTTACATCAATTGTTTACAGGCATACTTTAGCCTCGTCAGGCCTCGTCGAACGGGCATACTTTAGCCTCGTCAGGCCTCGTGTATAAATCGTGTTATTCTTTCAAAAATATCTTGATATTTTTATCAATTTATAATTATCTTGAATTGACTGTCTTGTTTTGTCGCCATTCTACTTGCGATATTATTCCGAAGTTATTTATCAACATGGAATCTTATCCTCATCTGGTAAGTAGTCAAATACCACATATTATATATTTAAATACCAAATTTGTGCAAATATATGTCCCACATATTTTATAATACATAAGTTCGCCAGTTCGGCAAATATTTACTATACTATCTATATACGTATCTTCGGCGTAGAGTTTACATGGAATGCACTCTGGAATTTTTCTATTAATATATTACACTGTATAAAATATTGAATATTTTCGAGGATATTTTAAGCCATTTGTCAACATAGTTCACAAAAAGATTTATACAGTATTAAAAACAATCCTTCTGTGACTTCTGTAATATTTTAAATAGTGAAAACATAGCAGGCAATATTGCCAATTAACAATATGAAAGGAACCTATTGGACAGTTCTCAGGAGATATTGAATTAAATCCTGGTCCTGTATATCTGTATATTGACTCCGTAACTCTGTTCAAAACAACACTCCAACTATAAAGCTGTCAACAAATGTAGTGTTAGGGCAAAGGTTGAAGATGTAATCAGTTAAAATACTTATACATTTTATTTGGTTTTACACATTAGAGTTAATTAAACAAAATTTTTACAAACATTTTCAAATAAAAGAATCTTCACCCTCCCGAGCCTCATTACATTGTCATTTTGCTTTCTAACATAAATATTTTTCTTTAGAGATTAATACAAGAATGAAGAGTAAATGTACTGGATATTGGCTGGATAATTTTGTCAGAACAACCAACTTGCAAGACAATCTTACCTAAATTCATCAGTATGGAAAATAACTTAACAGCTACAATGAGTAATCATATATTATATGGTGGATTTGATCAATGGCACACAATGTACAAAACTAAACTTGTGATACCTTCTACTCAAACCGATAATCTCCCACAACACAATTGTTTTTGTGTGAATGTGCTGTACGTGTTAAACCGAACAGTGTGTTATATCATTAACTGCGCACAGAAGTGGAATTTAATTATATACTTCACTCAAAACCTTCAAAACATTCAGTGGTCTTCGACATGTTCACCAAATATTTTGTGTATGCTACTCAACAGTTAACATTGGCAAGTGTAAACAACAAGTGACATAACTTTTGCTTCATATGATTACAATAAAGTTTTGAAAATTTGATGAGTATGGATTGAATTGACAGGTGACAGTATAAAAAATAGCCGGCTGCATAGACACTTTGAATATGCATGTTTGCATGAAATTTTTATTTCCTAACTGCATAATTATCTGTTACAATCATAATCACATTATAAAGTTAGTTAAATTTTCTCGGTGCGGGGGTGGGGGGGGGAGCACTTGCCCTGCTGCCCTCCCCGCTGTGTACAGCCCTGTTTTAAATCTTATCTGCTATTATAATAAGTGATGAAATATTTAAATTGTCCCATGCCATCTTCATTATTCAGTTTCTGTCAAGAAAATACAAAATGTGAATCAAGTTTTTTCGCAGATACATGTACGCGTGCTGTACCTATTTTTTTGTTTTCTTACAAAAGTGCTATATGCAAACTACCGTCAAAATTAGTTATACGAATTTTCGAGGTCCGTATTGACAAAAACGTCGCTTGCTTAAGCTCACCAATTACGAATAAATACCAAGGCTTATGATTCCGAACAAACTACGACTAGATTAGACTAAGATTACTAACAAACTGACGAAACTCTTCATGTCAATATTATTTTGATTAGGGATATGCAGATATGCTTGTTTGAGGCACTTTAGTGGCTTTTAAACATCTTAACTTGAACATTTAACTTTCTCTCCCTGTTTTTCGTCTACAAGTTTTCAAAGTATTTGATCTTGAAAAACTATTTCAACATAGAAACTCAGAAACTCAGTGCGATTATCTTCAACGTCGTTTTTAGTTTTCAATCTTACGGTAATCTCACGCAGTCTCTAAGTCACTAACTTGTTCTAACAAAATATAATTCAGCTTTTACTTCGTAAAACAAAGTATTTGGGTTTTTGTCCGACTTTAGTGATCCTTTCATCAACTTCGACAAACAGAATTCTTATGGACACTTAAAAAACTACTTACCAAAACAGCGCTCTTGCATCGTTTCATAAAGCTTGTTTAAATTTAATAATTCAAAAATAATCAAAAATATTTAACAATTATTCGCCGAAGGCGAAGTGATTACCGGTGAATATTCACCGAGACGAAGTCAAGTTGAATATTCACCGTAATCACAGAGCCGGAGGCGAATAATTCTTTGAATATAAATTTTTAATGAATAAAGCAAAATATCGGCCAAATATCAGTTCAATTAAAATTCAGAAATAAAACTGTTTTTGGTCTGTTCACAATTAATATTTTCACTAACAGAGTTGCAGTGTTTCTTGCACGCACACGTTTTCACAATGGCTTCCAATTCTTGTGTGACTTTATTTCTTTATTACAAAGTTGTTTTTCTCGATTTCTGCTTAGAATATAAACACAATAACGGAATGACTTTTTCACCTGAATTAGAATTAAAAAATAGTTTCTGTTTAGCATTAATTTTTTCAGGAAATAGCTGAGAAATTTGGTAAAATGAAATGTGAAACCCTATATTGTTCGAAATAAAGTTTTAATACACTTTCCACTTTACAAGTTTCGAAAGCACTATACAGCGGTCAGAACGCCATACACAACAATGAAAACATGACATACCAAAAGAAACAGTATCGTACAAATTGAGAAATCTACTTTTTTAGGATGCAAAAAAAAATGGATTTAATTATTTAAAAGAATATCTCAGCAAAGTTTTTCCCAACAGTCAGGATACTTTTTGCTATTTGTTTGAAAACAAAAACTCCGGTTTTAAATAAGTTTTAAATTGTTCGTGAACATGTTTGGCACAGTAATATAATAAAGGAATCCTACCTTTCAAGCTAAATACAACATTTTGTGCTTCTTAATTTTGTTTTCTGGGGACGATTGTTTTCAATTTTTTTTCAATCTTTTGTCGATTTTGAAACCGGCAAATTTGCCGAATCATTCTTTTTGAAAAGCATTTATACTTGTCTGCTAGTAAATAATGCGTCAGATTTACTAGTCAACTAGCCAATCTGAACGCGCGAAAGCTTATTTGATATGCAAAATTTATGCTAAATATCATAATTACCAGTAAAAGGTTTTCCTTCAATGTTCCAAATACAAGCTATTTCTTCCGTCGTTTGACGTCTGGTTCTGTGATGTTTTTCCAATTCTTCTGTGTATACATCCTTATTCAGAGCTTTTTCTAGAGCACTTCGCTTCCTACGGGTACCGCATATCATATTACGGAATGGAAATAAAGGCTGTCGAGGGATTAACCAATTCAAACCCACTTTGAAGTAAAGACAATTCTCGGTTACTGAAAAGTTTGTTTTTAGAATTGGTACATTAAATTTAAAATATCGGTCTTCGAAATCTCCCCCAATTTTCTGAATTCTGTCCTTTTCCGAGAATGTTCCGCTGGAAAACGCCGCGACAACGTGCTCTGTGCCAACTGTTTGAATCGCCTCGAGACCCGTAGGTGTTCGAACGACTCTTAGAATACTTGACTCGTCAAGGACTGCCGGCGTCGCGTCGATTTTATGGAATTCCAATCTGCACTGATAACCTGCAATTAAAGAACACTTGGCTACGCATGCGTATTTGATACCAAACTGTCGCACAATGGTAAATCCACGAGTACGTTCATCCTTAGCAAAATCTACAGAATTTTTCTCTCCCAATATACCTCCAAACGTGCCGATGTCATAGCTGTGCGCTTTATTGCTTTCCAGAACCCACATTTCATTGTCACGGTCATCGTATGAAACTGATATGACTTCATATTGAAGAGATTCTGCCTTAGTAATGCTAATTGTTGAAGGACGTTTTGAAGACATGGTATTACGTATATCCGATAAGCGAACACTGTAAAGACTTTCACCACTACTTATCCAGATGAGCGACTTAACAACGACTACACCGCCCATGTCGCTTCGAAAAGGCACACCATCCTTTTCCAATTGAACAATTTTAAGGATTTCGCTGTTTGAAGATGTTACGTCAACCACTACTAACAATGAAGCTTTTTCTGCATTAGCTGCGACACCACGCATTCCCAGTAGCATTTCATTTTTTGACAATTGAGCTATACCGCGAATCTTGTAATCATCAAAGAGTCCCGGTACAAGCCATTTTCCAGTTTTTGACAACGACGTCGATGATAAATCGTCCAAGTGCGGATATTTCCACAAGAATGTCGTGCCAAGATAAAGAGCTGAAGATCTTCGTATTAATCTTAGGCAAACTTCAGCAGAACAGTGTTGATACTGATCCCACTTTTTGTACTCCCGGATATCCAGTCCTTTTTGACGTAACTGTACTGTATTAAGGAATAACGTAACCTTGTCAATGAGTTCATTCACTTCCTCCGACACCTTTGTTACAGTTTCGCCATAGTGTTTCAGTTTTTCTTCAAAACCTTCAGTGAAATCCAATGTTTTAAAAAGGACATCCAAAATCGTAGCTTTTAGTGGTTCAACTATGTTATCGCACGATTGGATGAAGCCTATCATAGTTTCAACAACTGATTGCAGCGGTTGTAGAATTGGACCTATAACTGCGGAATTTTTTCCCAACTGGAACGAAACGTTAAGTTGTTGCTGTACATTCTCAAGTTTTGTTTGGAAAGGCTCAATGTTGTCACGAGATACTTTTTCCAAACCAGTGAAAACCTCTTCGACCAATGTCTTAATCATTTCTTGAGTTTTGTCAGCTTTTCTTGTGTGCTCGGCCACACTTTTCTCTATCGTAACAGACTGTTCAGCAGAGCGTCTTTTAACCTAGGTACGAAAAACAAATATTTTAATGACTGAAGTGCGTCATGTGATTTAACATAATAAATTTTTTAAACAAACAAACAAATAAACAAACTATTTCCAATACATCTGGAGTTTAGTGTGTCCGCTTTTAACAATTATATTATTTGTTTATCTGCTCTTGCCGTTGTCTTACTAAAATTTCGTTATTGATTTTGGCTAGTGATTGAGCCAAACCAGAAAATAGAGCCAAGCCTAAAAACGAACAAGCAATACCGAAGAGAGACACTCATGCATGTAATAATCTGCATGACTTTAGTATTTTCAAGAAATTAGTTAAGACTTATTATTTTGAAGAAGCCTTTAATGTAAATACTTCATGTAACATATAATCTATATAACCTTGTTTATATTTTTAGTTAGTAACCATTCAGCATAGAATAATTTTTAATTAGTGTAATTATGTTTTGTGATGCGCATTTGATCATATACTATAACATGTTAATTGCCCAATATTAACAAATATTAAGTATTATTATTATTATTATTATTATTATTATTATTATAATGGGTTGCCAACTACACTGTCGCAGAGCATCTTTACAAATGAAAACAATGTATATAACCTACTTGAATTTTATGCCCGTCGTCTTTGCCAAAAAACTTGCCCGTGATTCTTCCAGACAAATCCTTAATCTTTATGATTTCTTCTTTAAATGAAAATTCCTTGACCAATATTGAAATATTCTTTATCTTTTCGAAAATTCGTGATACTTCTTCCACACTCTCCTTACAGGTTTCCAGTTTATCGTCAAAGTTAAAGTCATCGAACTTATTTTTAAGTTTCTCCATTTTATTTGAAACACTTTGAGCTTGCTTTTTCAATGAGTTATACAAACACGTTCCTCCAGAAATACATTTTTGTGAACTCAAACTTTCCCATTCGTCTGGCAACAGTTCCAAAAACGCTTTCATTTCAGATTTCATGGTGGTATAATCTTGGTAGGCCTCTTTCCCGAATGATATTGCTTCTTTCCCACAACTTGCGATTATCTGATCGAAGGTAAAATAAATGTCGGAACAAGTTGGTAACTGGCGGATTTCTTGCAACACGGGGGAAAAATTTTTAGAAAAAGGTCGCAATTCCAATAAAACCGCTTCAATTTCTTCAACTGAGGTCGACATTTCTTCTAGATATCTTCGACCTTCCTCAAGCGGTGTTTTCAAAAAATCTAATTTGTTAACAGATTGCGAGATAAGAGAATCAGTTTGCTTTGTAACAAATTCACGGAAAGTTTTAAATAGATTGTCGCCCTGAAATTGTTTGATGGTATCTTCGGCAAAAGAATGAAATTGATCGCAAAGGTTCCGTAACTTTTTATCGAAGTCCAAATTAAATCGCTGTCGGATGTTAAGTTTCTGAAATTCGATTTCCCAACGATTCGCATTTGTTGCAAAATCTCTAATCGTATCTGCAAAACCGTACGCTTTCTGTGCATGCGTGGGTAAATTGTTCAGGTGTTGAATGACATTGTTTATATTCTTGAAAACGTTATGAATGTTGGAGAAAACGTTGTTTTCGGTTTTGATTAATGATAAGAACTCATCGATGGTTTGACTCACAATTGCAACCTTACCCAAGTGCTTCGCTAAATTTTCCTGGTGCCATTTTTCCAGGTTTTTTACAACTGCTTCAAATTGATCAATAAAAACAACAAATCCTTCCGAGTTAGAAGTAACAAAATCAGCTATTTCGTTGACGGCGTTCTGTGCTGCGGACTGAATTTCATCCAAGATATCACCAGATATGTTCGCAGCCGTCTGACAAATTCCGGTCAATTTGTCTGCTGACTTCAACGAAAACGCTACAGCAATATCTGCAAGTTCTTTCACATTTTCCAAGGAGCCTTCCAATGCGGTTAAATATTGCTCAACAAAGGTCCTGGCAGTACTTGCTACATTTTGCTTTAGTTCGTCAATAAACTCGTCCACAAACAAAGTGATGTTAATAACTTCTCCTATAGCCTGCTGGGCTTCATTCCTAACATTTCTGATTCCCGGAATCATGTCTTTTTCAAGGGTTTCTCCAAAGATTTCCAACTTTCCTGCTGATTTTAAGATGAAGTCTTGCAATTTGCAAACATTTGCGAGTGCTCCTTTTGAGAAGACTCCAGTGATCGTTGATAGTTCATCTAAAAAGTTGACAGTGTTGCTAACGTCGAACAGTTTTGAATCGAATTGGTTTAGAAGATTGTGAAAGAATTTAACAACGATTTGAAACCATTGTGCTATGTTGGAATCGTCTTCATCCCAGAAAAGCTCTTTAGACTTGAACTCGATTTTGAATTTTGGTAGGATTTCAATAAAGAATTGCTCGAAGTTTACATTAGGATTACTTAAACTTCGAAAAACGTCAGTTATATAGCGAAATAAAATTCGAAATTTTGAATAGCCAGGGCCCGAAAAGTCAATCGTAAAGTTGAATGTTATTCTCCAATCAAAAGGCAAACCAAAGTCGAATTTGTTTACTTTCTTATTATTCACATCCACTTTGAATTCCGGGAGATAAAGTCGTGGTAGCTCGATATTAAACATATCTCGAAAAACAGAAAGCATTTCCAGGAAACTGTTTCCAAAATGTGCCAAACGCAACGTTGAAATCTTAAACCTGTCCAAGGTCGGAATGAAGTTAAGCGTAAAATTAAAATGAAACATTTTAAAAAAATTTTTCGGAACATTGAAACCTAACTTTTCAAAATAATCCTCTACGGCATCACTAGTCGAGTGAAATGGCCCATTAATGTGTGTCAATAATTCCTTAATGTTGAAATTTACAGGAAAATTTCGTGGAAGCCTAATCCCCAATCTTGAGAGAATATCTACAAGATTGTTGAGAAAATCAAATGCTCCTCCAAAGGATCCTGTCGATAGATTTATATTAGAAAGGTTTACGTAAAGCTTCCTGACCAAATCACCAATTTGTAACCAAAATTTACTTGCACGCCACGCACTTCGAAGATTTCTTACAATTCCATTAAAGAATTTTCCAAAGCGTGAAACTTGAATTGTGCGGGTAAGAAATTTGACAGTGTCAGAAATAAATTTCACGAAGATATCAGGAATAAATGGTAGAAACTTCTTCAGTTTGTCAAGAAATCTTTGAATATGCTGGGTAAAAATACTTGAAATTCCATCAATCTTGGCTAGAATACTATCGGCAGTATCGGCGATTGTGTGAAGTAAATCTTTAGGAATGTCGTTCTTAAATCCTGCACCCATCTTGAATGCCGCTTTTCCATTGACTATGTCAAAACTCCATTTGAGTACGTGAGCCCGAAAGTGCGCCAAATTATCCAAGTTTACTTCAAAACGCCCACCAAAAATTCCGATTTTTAGTGTCACGTGGTTTGCGAATCGCATGATGGCTTCCGCACCAGCTTGACTACCCCCAAATGATTTTTGCCATTCCTTCTGTATTCCTAAAGAAAATTCTCTAGGCTTTAATGCTGGAATAAGTGCCCTTTTCTTTCGCCGAATAATGGACCTCCGTTTTCGTAACTTTTTTATTACGTGATGAGATTTATCGTTATGGTTTTCTAGAAATTCAGTAATCTTAGAGTCTAGTTCGTCACCTTCTTCAGATATCCACAGAGCGTCTTCGATAGCATCGCGCAATTCGTTGGTAAGGTTCTGACGCCGTTCTATGAACACCTCAATCACTCCTGCTTTAACCGTTACGTGTTCGTCATTTCGAAGCATTCGCAGTAAGTGGCTGTCAGTGTACTGTGTTGGGAGTTTTCTTAATGCCGAAACTGCAAAATATCGAATACCGGAGCTATCATGATCCAAATATCTGGTTATCAAGTTAAGAGATGAAATGTGACCTAAATTTCCGAAAGCACATACATGACTCCATATATACCCTTCGTGTGACTGGCTTTCTTCGTCATGGAATCTTGCTGGATGTGTCTTGAAACTTTGGTGCAGATATTGCGCGACGCTTTCTGACAGCGATCTATTGAAACCAGCGTCGTGGCACTTGCGCACTAAACCTGAAATCACTAACATAGCGCGAACAGTGATCTCATCGCTCTTACTAGAATTCTTAAGAAGGGACAACAGAGCTTGTAACAATTCTGGATACAAAGGCCCTGCAGGGATAAAGAATACCGCCTCCAGAAGCTTTGCATGTTCCTTGTCCGAAAGTGGCCGCGGTGCCTCAAGTAAAATTGCTCGGCTTAAAATCGTCTGGGTTTTATAATCTCCTCGGACAACAACAGCCCCAACTAGCCCTGACCAAGTAGAGAAATTTAAATGAGACCGTTCCAACGTCAAGTTCACAATGTTTTCAAAAATATCGTCATCCGTTTTCGCCAGAAAATGAAACTCCTTGATACATTGGGATAATTCACTTTCTTTGACAGAAGGGTCGGAATAACATCGAAGTAACTCGTAGAATGTACGACTCGGTTTATTGGGATCACCAATCGAAGACCATTTTAAGCGATGTATTCCATCATAACTCAAGGTATCTTGCTTCAAATTTTCCAAAGACAACTGAACTTTTTCCGAAGACCTTTTGCTTCTCTTAGTAGTCGGATTAACACAGCGAAGGAGGTTAAGATGGCTTTCTCCGGATGCTTTTAGCTCTAAATCAGGTTGTTGTTGAAATGTTGGCTTGTTCAGAGGTCTATTATAAGGCTTGTCGCTCCGTAAATAAGAAATGTGAGTTCGTTTCACATTTTTGATCGTACCGTCTTGAATTTCCAGAGAGGTATAATAATGACTTTTGCTGTGTTGCTCGCCTTCTACCGGTCGTCCGTCCACATGTTTCAGGTAATCATCACTGCTCCAGCTCTTTGTTAAATGCAAGTGGGTAAAGTTCCTTTCGTTGACGTCATAGTGAGTAATATGGATTCCAGAGTCGTCTTCCTCTTCTGTACTGTAGGAAATGTTTTGGGAGTCTGGATTGATCTTCAAATTGAGTGCGCTCACAATTCCTAATAAATATAAAATGTTGTATGACAATTTTATCTTGCCTTGTTTGTTTATACGCGTGTGTATTTTAACAATATAGATAATGCTCGTGTGTTCTATAAAGGCAAACAATTACAACAACATTTTCACTGCATAATTGTCATAAAACATATTTAAAATTACCTTTCTTTAGTCCAACAAGTTCTGGTTGATCATCGTGTGGAAAAAACACTTGTGTAATGTTCCCTTTAACATCTTGTAAGAAGAAAAATGTCTTAGACAACTTTTCCTCTATGTTTTGATCAACAGTATGTTTGATACGAACACCATTTTTTAAACGAATGATGCGTACATTACTCAAGCGTAATCTTGCGATGTAAGCATCGTTTTGCGACAAATGCTGATCTGGAACTTCAACATCGACCTATTAATAGTTAAAAAGTGTTAAAAACATCTTATAACTTTAGACAATTTGCATTAGCAAATTGACCACTGAAAAGTATTCAGTGCATTTGCAGGGTGACAAAATGCAAAATACGATTGATGACTGACCTGCTGAGGTAACACTACCTGCGCCACTAAAAATACATGAATGAAAGCCTTTTACCAGATAATAGCAGACCAAATTATCATAATTCGGGAGTTTGAACCATTCGACTACAGTATGAACATTATCCAAAGTCCCAATTCTGATCCCTATTTTTTGGGACTGAGTACCAAACGCCACCAACCACCCACTATTAAAAATGTGAAGCGGTCGCATTTTGTAAAATACGTTGTGCTATGGTTAATACGACGGCAAAACAAGCTACTTACCGGTCAAAACACTTCCTCTTTCCCGCTTCACATTTTCTACAGTCTCTTGTTCATTTTAAGTAGTAATATAGGTACCGATCACTAATCTGAAATAAGACTGGATAACGCATCTATATAGTATACAAAAGTGAAGCCGGAAGTCACCGGCCGCCACCCGATTCTGGGGCCCCACTTTTGTATACATTTGTGTGACAGACGGTAGTTTTTCGCGTTTTTTGCCTTGGCTACGTTTCCGATCGGGCCAATTTTACAATCACAACGATAGAAACATACAAGAAGAATTTTGAGCAAAACATTTGGAGTATTATGGCTTTATAACGCCGCGAAACGGGATTTACAACTCTGAAGGAGTGGAGTTTTGCCACTCTAATACAAAATCAATTCAAAATAGACAAAAATTACTGTTACTGGACGAATATTCTCACGAAAATTGAAGAAATGAAGCAGCTACATTGTGAACAAAAGCGTACAGAGGTTAGACTTTGTTTATCAACTCGTTTGTTACTTTCATAGAAAATCAACTTAAAATATTTAACAATTATACCATGAGGTCGAGTCGTATATGAGCTGATAGCCGACGAGGTGCGTAAATTATAATATAGTCTAATATAGCCATTAACTGAAGCAGTAATTAATTATTCACTGTCACAATGTGTTGACAATTTGTTCGGCCAAAAACCGCTTGAAAATTTGAAATACTTTTGTTTTACAACTCGAAGACGAAGTGAAAGAAATGGTTTTAGAACCTCTATATCTCACAGGAAAGCTCGGATATATTATACAGATGTTTGGTACTATAGTAAGTGCTTGTTGACTGCAAATTCATTTGTCGTTCATTGCAAACTTTTCTGAACAATTTATATTCTCAATGAACATATTAATTCTTTAAAAAACTTGTATTTAAACTAATTTGTACGTAATAAATGTATTTTGCTAACCTGTCAAATTTTTTTGAGAGTTTGTCCTTGTACTATTATGTTTTTCAAAGCGAATATTTTCCTTTTTCTGCTTCGCAAAACTCATGTAGTTCTGGACCGCCATCTTGTTTTTCGCTACTCGCCGTATATGAGCTGATATACGGCGAGTAATTCAACCAATCAGATTGCAGAACAGCTCATACACGGTGGATGACTATATTATAAACAAGAATTATACTGTTACTTTAATACTGGACGAATATAATTTCTCAGGAAACTTGAAGAAACGAAGCAGCTACATAAAATACCTTGAAGCTACTTTTATAATTATACAATCGAATTTAATAAGGAACAGTTTTAAATGTCAATTTTGTCAAAAGCATTCCTAGGCGACTTGTCGAGAAGTTTTATATGTTTTAAAGTAGGAAGACAAGTGACAGTGCTGTCAATGAAATATTTTTAATCCAAATTATAAACAACGACTCAATATGTTATTTTAATTCATATAATTATGGAAGTAGCCTCAAGGTATTTTAAAACTAACCTCAGTACGCTTTCGTTCACAATGTAGCTGCTTCATTTCTTCAAATTTCCTAAGAATATTCGTCCAGCAACAGTAATTCTTGTATATTTTGAGTTGATTTTGTATGAAAGTAGCAAAACAAGCTCGCGTTGATAAACAAAGTCTGAGGCTCTCCACTCCTTCAGAGTTGTAAATCCTGTTTCGCCGCGGCGTTATAAAGCCATAATACTCCAAATGTTTTGCTCAAAATTCTTCTTGTATGCTTCTATCGTTGTGATTGTAAAATTGTCCTGATCGGAAACGTAGCCAAGGTAAAAAACGAAAAAAACTACAGTCTGTAATACAAATCTATACAAAAGTGGGGCCCCAGAATCGGGTGGCATCCGGTGACTTCCGGCTTCACTTTTGTATACTATAGATTCGTTATCCAGTCTTATTTCAGATCAGTGGTACCGATCGACCCCTTTTTGAGGATGAGCGAGGGTGAGGTAATTAACATTCAGAAAAATTAAGGTAAGGTAATTAATATTTAGAGAAATAAGGGTAAGGTAAGTAATGATTGGTGCTTGATGCTGCACAGGATAGTACGGGACGTAGCAAGGGGGCGGCGCAAGGGTGTGATCACATGACGTCATAATGTATGCAGACGTCAAAATGTATACATACTCTAAGTAAGGGTGCTGAGAGTGCGTTAAATAATATACATGATCGTGAGGGCGCGGGTATTTAATATTCAGGAAAATGAGGGTGCGTTAATTAATATTGAGACAATGAGGGTGCGTTAATAAATATTCACGATCATGAAGGTGCTCACTAGGATGAGATTGAAATGGGCCGTAAACTATATGCATGACGTCATTCCAAACATTTCCGAGTGGCCTCCAAAAAATTATTGTCGCCAACGGTGTGATTCAGCATCTGGTGAGGCGCATTGTCTTGCATGGTGGTCGAATAGTATAGCATTGGTTGTCAAAGTACCAAAGAAAGGGGTTTGAGTCCCTCACCAGGAAGCCACTTTTTAAGAGTATAAGCTGAGTTACAAACATATATCAGCAATAATAGAACGTTTACAAATTGTCACCAAGTTGAAACAAAATGTGAAAGACGTTGGCTTTACAAGCAAATTTTCGAAATAAAGTTTCAAAGCGTTAGAAACATAAATATTTTGGTGCGCAGCGTTGTTAAAGTAAACTATACTACGTGTAAAATACAAAAGTTGGGGGGGGGGGGATTAGGACAAATACAAATTTGTATCACTAATAAGATCTCGATGAATAGACATGGATAGTATTTCGAGTGGTCATCGTGGAAAACTGGGAAACGTTGGGCGAAGAGACAATACTTATGCTGAGCTCAGCATTTTTATATATTTTAGGCTCAGCTGAGGGTGCATAATTTATATATTCATTATAAATATGATCATACCTCACACTCTCCGGTCGAAATGTATGAAATACTCACGGTATGACACGGTATAAACAGCACTGGGGCATAAAGGACTGTTAATCATACATATCTCCCTTGTGATGATACGAGTGCTCGTATGATCAGGATGATACGGGCGCACCGCAAAGCGGCGCTGGTATAATTCAAATTATACCTCACACTCTCCGGTCGAAAAGTATGAAATATTCACTGTAAATTGCAAAGCACGTACAGGTGACGAACAACTCACTGGGATGTAAAATGAATAACAAACCATTTGAAAGGATGTATATTAATGGAAAATCAGGTTGGCCATTCGGAAAATTATGGCAAAATTTTAGATGTTAACTAACAGAAAAAAATATATAATTGTATTGTCAGAATAAACTGATTTACGAAATCAAAGCCTGGATAACGTTTAACAAATCATAAATCGGTAAGTGTTTCAGGTTTAATACTTCTCAGGGCCGTAGCAACGGGGCGGGTGGGGCTGCATGCAGCCCTCCCAATAGTTTGCTCATTTTCATTCTTTTTTCAAAATCATGCGGACTTTTGTCATTTAAATAATATACTTTTAAAATACTGACAATTGATTAATTTTAAGGAGCTACATCATTCATGACAAACTGCAAAGAATCATATTACCCATATTTTCCTGCAACTTCTCCAATATATAGTTAATTAAGTACACCGTCGCCAATTTAGTACTACTACATTGTAAGCAAATTGTAAATTTCGACATACTAAAATTAAACGCTGTTTTCTGACCATCAGAATTCCGTCATAACTTCCCCAAAATCGAGGAAATGGCATTTTAGAGACTCTAAATTTAAAATTTTCCTCCGGCTTTCGTCCTCGTTTTCACCCTCCAATCAAAAATTACTTTCTACGGCGCTACATGCTACTTTAATGTGTCTGTGCGTAAAATATGCGTACTTCTGTTTGTAAATCGCGTCTTCATTTTCCGGATAACAAACACCTTCGTGGCTTCGCATGCCATGAAATATTCGGAAAATTTTTTCGTCATTCGGAAGTTTTTTTGCTTACACCCCAACTATACATGCTAGCTACGGTCCTATTTTATGCCCACCCGTCTATGTACTTAAATTAATTGAGTAACGAACAACATATACGGTGGACAGAATGTATATGATCAAGGCCATGGAAGGCAGTTACTGGGATGTCCCATTATATGCATGCTAGAGGGGGCTATTTCTCGCCCTTTTGCTTTTATTCTGCCCCATTTGCATTTTATTCGCCCTTTTGCTTTTATTCGATATATATATATATATATATATATATATATATATATATATATATATATATATATATATATATATATATATAAATAAAGATAAAATGAAACTGGTTTACTTCATAAGATTTATTCACTACAAACTTGTTTCGTATGACAAGCAATGCTTGCCACACTCATCAGGTGAATTTAAATGTCGCGCTATGTTGTTGCCAAGGTTATATACTATATACATGTTTGACGTAAACGGAATGTTCAAGTATTAAATTACGTATAGATTACATATGTATACAGATTACATTTATAAGTAATGTATATTGCTTAAGAGAAATTTGTTTCTATGTCTGCATTTCGACAAAAGTTCACTTCTTGAATTTAAAGAACAAAGTTCAGGGTGGTAGATTATTATGAATTTTTCATGTGTACAAAGACTGCAGCGTTTCGTTGTGTTGTTGTAGCTCTTGCACTTCTTAATAATACGCCAGTTATGGAGTACTTGACCTTTGAAAAGTTGCCAGATGTATTTGCTCAGCTCTGTCGTATTTCTATACTTGCTTAATCTGAATGAGCTAGTGTGGCAATAATATCTGGATTTGAACTCTCCTTCAGTATGTCCGACATATGATTCCTTTTGATTCGTATTGTTCCTAACAACCGTTACTTGGTATACTACGCTGGATGTTAGACATTTAGCGGGTGTAAATATTTATTTATGTTTGACATTTAAATCAATGGAAAAACACGAACTCTGTTATTTCATGGTTTAAGAATTTACCTAACAAGTCATCTCGTTCGTTCACTTGTTTTGATATCGTAGATTTTTACCCATCCATTACCGAAGAGCTGCTTCTTAATGCCTTAACCTTTGCTTCCCAGTTCAACACCATCACGGATGAGGAGAAGCATATAACTAGAAAATACATGCATGCAGAAACCCTCGCCTTGCTTACAAAACCATTGTATTTTCCGAACATGAAGTATCTAAAGTAGTTGTCATGGTAACACGATAATTTTTAAGAACATTCTTACAAATGAAAATCGCCTAAAAATATCACTTTTAATTACAAAATTATAAATTTCCGAACATATATATGTTAGGTATGTAATTATACGTAATACAAGCTTCAATTTAAGGTAAAATTGAACCACAAACAATTCACAAAACGTTCCAAAGTGTTCTTTATAAAGCTAAACTACCTTTAGCTATTATTATGGCTTTATCGATAAACTGAGTTTGCAGTAAAATGATTTCAAATTCTTGCTTGCAAATAACTATGCTTATTTTTTATTTAAAAAATTCAATATAATAAAAAAGGGAATCAATATTAAAGATACACTGAAATTATATGCTGTCTTCTTTAGTTGTTTCATATACGCAAAAGCCGCCTGGCTTTAAAGCCATTGTAAAATCAATATTTAAAACAAAGAAACTTACCTTCGTTAACGTCGGCTCCCTTCTTTTAGCCGATTATTTCGCCTTTTCTTTCTTGAAATTTATAAAATCTTGCAGAAATACGAGCAAAGAAGAAATATATTTGCAAGAAATTTATCAATCATCAAATCAAGAAATGTTTGCTATTTTGCTGTCGTCATGCAGTTGTTATAATGCAAACTTTAAATTGGACCAATCAGTGTCCGTTATTCATGACAGTCCGCCATGTTTTTGAGATCAGTGAGGATGACCACCCATCGACCATCGTTGGTGACCGACGCCCGCGCTCATTCATGAACTTTAGACTTCGCTAATGCTTTCGTTTCCCCGGGTGTAAATAGCCGGGGGGGATTAGTACCCTCGCACGGCGCTTCGCGCCGTCGGCTCGGGGATAATGCAGGCGAAGAAATCAGTTCTCTTCAGCAGAAATCAAACTTGGCGCAAGAAAGAGTCAGACAGCCTCTTTGATGTAACGATGGGCAGTTTTGATGGTGCGGAAACATGCGAGCTAGTTGGTTTATTCCTACTATCCAAACTTCCCCCAGAATATCGAAATGATATTGGTCTCTACAGAGATGATGGCCTTGCAGCGTTTGACAAACAACCGAGAGCAATAGAAAATATCAAGAAGCAAATTTGCAAAACTTTTAACTGAACATAATTTAAAGATTACAGTCGAAGCTAACAAAAAATGTGTCAATTACCTGTAATGTGATTCAATTAAGATTAACTGTTACCAATATTAACTATTACTAGAAAATACATGCATGCAGAAACCCTCGCCTTGCTGACAAAACCGTTGTATTTTCCGAACATGAAGTATCTAAAGTAGTTGTCATGGTAACACGATAATTTTTTAAGAATATTCTTACAAATGAAAATCGCCTAAAAATATCACTTTTAATTTCAAAATTATCAGTTTCCCAACATATATATGTTAGGTATGTAATTATACGTAATACAAGCTTCAATTTAAGGTAAAATTCAACCACAAACAATTCACAAAACGTTTTAAAATGTTCTTTATAAAACTAAGCTGACTTTAACTATTAAATGGCTTTATCGATAAACTTTGAGTTTGCAATAAAATGATTTCAAATTCTCGCTTGCAAATAACTTTGCTTTTTTTATTTAAAAAATTCAATATAATAAAAAAGGGAATCAATATTAAAGATACACTGAAATGATATGCTGTCTTGTTTAGTTGTTTCATATACGCAAAAGCCGTCGGGTTTTAAGTCATTATAAAATCAATATTTAAAACAAACTTATCTTCGTTAACGTCGGCTCCCTTCTTTTAGCTGATTCTTTCGCTCTTTCTTTCTTGAAATTTACAAAATCTTGCAGAAATACGAGCAAAAATGAAGAATATTTGCAAGAAATTTATCAATCATCAACTCATCAAATCAAGAAATGTTTGCTATTTCGCTGTCGTCATGCAGTCGTTATAACGCTAACTTTAAATTGGACCAATCAGTGTCCGTTATTCATGACAGTCCGCCATATTTTTGAGATCAGTGAGGATGACCACCCATCGTTGGTGACCGACGCCCGCGCTCATTGATAAACTTTAGACTTCGCTAATGCTTTCGTTTCCCCGGGTGTAAATAGCCGGGGGGAATTAGTACCCTCGCACAGCGCTTCGCGCCGCCGGCTCGGGGACTAATGACGGGGCCACGTGTATATAAACTAATGTATTGATATTAAAGTCTCTTTCAAACCTTACTACATGGTAGCAGCGGTGGAATACTCGAGTGACCAAAAGAAATTAAAGAAACTTATTATAAACTAATAAGCACAAACGATATAAAAACAACAAAACAAAAACATAGTATACGTACGTGTGAAATAGAGTACAAGAAACCTATTTCAGCATAAGTTAAATATGGCAGAACCAAATGAGGTAAATACCGCGAGAAGTTTCACAACATATCAAGTGATACCTCCGTCGAAATTTAGCTTTAAATCCTCGGAGTGGACCCGATGGATTCGTCGCTTTGAGCGATTCAGAATTGCGCCAGAACTCGACAAGAAAGAGGAAGCCAAACAAGTCAACGCGCTTATATATACTATGGGCGACGAGGCAGATGACATAATAACATCGTTTGGTCTCAGCGAACAAGAAATCAAAAGCTACGAAACAGTTCGAGACAAGTTTGAAAATCACTACATCGCCAAACGAAACGTTATTTTCGAAAGAGCAAAGTTCAATGTTCGAATTCAAGACGAAAACGAACCTGTCGAAAGTTTTATTACCGACCTGCATTGTCTTGCTAAATATTGCGAATTTGGCGTATTAAAGGTTCAGCTAATAAGAGATCGCATCGTCGTCGGACTGAGAAATAAAAAGTTGTCTGAGAAATTACAATTAGTTCCAGATCTTACTTTAGCGAAAGCCATGGCTCAAGCCAGACAAAGCGAGGAAATCAAGGAACAACAAAACATTATTCATGGACAAAAATCGACCGGAAGCAGCGAGCATAATATTGACAACATTTCTAAGAATAGAAAACAACCCTCGCGGGATTCGCGCGAAAAAAATTTAACGACAGAAAATACGGCAAAATGGACGGCAAACCCAAATGTACGCGGTGTCTCGGACCAGCGCACTCCAGGCAATTGTGCCCAGCAAGTGAGTCTATCTGTAATAACTGTTTAAAGAAAGGACATTGGGCAAAAGCATGTCGAAGCCAAGCAAGCCAACAACTTCGCAAGAAACAAGTTAACGAACTAACTTCCCGCCAAGAAACCGAGGAGGAAATTTCGTCTGAGGAAGATGTCTACTTTTTGGGCGAAGTCGTACACCTCGACACTATCAATAAATCTGGCAATAAACCGTGGACTGCAGACATAAAGATAAACGAAACAAATATTTTATTCAAAATCGACAGCGGCCCTGACGTCACAGTGATACCTTTAACAGTATATCAACAACGAAAACTACAGTCAACACTCAAGTCAACTGGCAAAGTTCTTATGGGCCCGTGCAATTACAAAATGAACTGTATAGGAACATTCACTTCACAGCTGCCACGAGGACAAGACAACTACAAAGAAATATTCGTCTTTAAAGGACTCGAAAGATCATTATTAGGAAGACAAGCAGCCCACAGTCTGAATTTACTCAACTGTGTCGACGCTCTAAACAGCAACGAAATGAAAGAAAGCGTCAAAGAAAAGTATCCCAATCTTTTCACTGGTCTTGGACAAATTAAAGACCAAGAGTATGATATTAAAGTCACGCACGAAGCAACACCTTTTGCAATCACGGTTCCACGACAAGTTCCGATACCACTTCAAAAAGAAACCGAACGGGAATTACAAAGAATGGAACGCAACGGCGTAATATCTCGAGTTGAAGATCCAACCGAATGGTGCGCCCCGATGGTTGTAACACCAAAAAGCAATGGAAAAGTTCGAGTATGCGTAGATCTCACAAAGCTAATCAGTTCGTGCAACGTGAAAACCATCCCCTACCAACAACCGACACGACATTTGCAAACCTTGCTGGAGCTCGGTATTTTACAAAGTTAGACGCCAACTCTGGATTTTGGCAAATCAAGCTCTCGGAAAGATCAAAACCTCTAACAACGTTCATAACACCCTGGGGACGGTACTGTTTCAACGTTCTTCCTTTCGGAATAAGTTCAGGGTCTGAAAAGTTTCAGAAATGTATGTGCCAAATTCTCGAAGGTTTGGATGGCGTCGAATGCAACATCGATGATGTTCTAGTTCACGGTGCAACACAAGAAGAACACGACCGAAGATTGGAAGCGGTTCTCCAACGACTCGGTAACGCCAACGTCACGCTAAATGCCGAAAAGTGCGTGTTTAACGTCTCGAGTGTGAAATTCCTAGGTCAGATCGTGGGAGCTGATGGCATCAAACCCGATCCAGAGAAAATACAAGCGATTCTCGAAATGCCACACCCAACCAACCTACATGAAGTCCGTTCCTTTCTTGGAATGGTAAACCAATTTAGCAAATTTACCACCAATCTTGCTGACCTGACAAAGCCCATCCGAGAACTGCTAGTTAAGAACACTGCGTGGACATGGGGACCACCACAACAAGACGCTTTTGACAAAATCAAGAAAGCCCTGACATCAGCACCGATACTAACCTTGTACGACCCCAACAAAGCAACCAAAATAGCGGCCGACGCATCATCATACGGCCTTGGAGCGGTGGTGCTGCAAGAAGAACCAGACACCTGGAAACCTGTATCATTCATTTCAAGGTCGATGACAACAACCGAGGCCAGGTATGCCCAGATAGAGAAAGAAGCTCTAGCGGTAACTTGGGCATGTGAACGGTCAAGCAATTACATAATTGGAAAACCAATAACAATTGAAACTGACCACAAACCACTGGTACCTTTATTAACCAACCATACCATCGACAAGTTACCTCCAAGACTACAACGCTACAAGATGAGACTAATGAGATTCCACATCAAAGATGTTCGACACGTACCTGGAAAACTACACTACACAGCCGACACTCTGTCCAGGAAGATACCTGAAAGCACAGTCCAACCAACCGTAGAAGAAAACGAAATGAACGCTTACGTTTTAAGTGTAATTGATGCCTTGCCCGCATCTAATCCGAGATTGAAGGAAATCCAACAAGCCCAAGATGAAGACGAGGTATGCAAAGAAGTGAAGAAATACTGTATGGATCAATGGCCAGGAAAAGATCATGTCACTCCTGCCGTAAAACCTTACTGGTCAGTACAAGGAGAGCTCACCATCGCCGACGGGTTATTGCTCAAAGGAACAAGACTGGTCATTCCATCCCGCTTGCAACGCCAAACCCTCAACCAAATACACGAAGGTCACCAAGGTATCAGCAAATGCAGAGAACGAGCCAAAATATCCGTTTGGTGGCCAGGACTCAGTGCCCAAATTAAAGTCATGGTCGAAAACTGTACAACATGCAGCAAATACAGACAGCAGCATCCAGACCCATTGATGCCAACGCCACTCCCTCAAAGACCATGGCAATTGATTGCAACAGACCTTTTCATTCTAGAAAAGGTTACTTACCTACTGGTGGTAGATTATTATTCTCGCTACGTCGAAGTTGTGGCATTACCTAAAAGTACAAGTTCATCGAAGATCATTCAAGCCCTGAAAACCATTTTCGCCAGGCACGGGATTCCTGACGAGGTATGTTCCGACAATGGGCCTCAATATCATAGTGACGAATTCGCCCAGTTTGCAAAGGAGTGGGGATTCAAACACAGTACCAGCAGCCCTCGTTATCCTCAAGCGAACGGCGAAGTGGAACGAGCAGTAAAGACAGTGCAAAACATCCTGAAGAAGGAACAAGATCCAACAAAAGCACTACTGGCATATAGATCAACACCATTAGCAAGTGGATACTCTCCAGCAGAAGTCCTTATGGGAAGAAAGATAAAGTCAACAATACCAATAACACTACCACATTTAACACCACAACTGCCAAACCAGAAACTCTTCATAGAAAAAGAAGAAGTATATAGATCGAAGCAGAAAAAGAACTTTGACAATCGCCACAAAGCTCAACCATTAAAACCTCTACCACCAGGAGCAACAGTTTACATCACAGACATGGATTGTACCGGAACAATAATTAGACCATCCAAGAAACCAAGATCATATCTGGTTGATACTCCTACAACGGTAGTAAGACGAAACCGAGTACACCTGCAAAACATTCCCACGAACAGGAAACAACACCATCATTAAATATAAATAGCAGACCTAGCAGAATTAAAACATTGTCTTTGAAAGCAAGAGAAAATCTTGGACTAGAGTAGGTGACATTCAAAATTATTAAAACATTAAAGTTACAATCAAAATAAGCGAAAGACTTAGCTAAGTTGACATTAAGTTTTACATCTTTAAGAAAAGGGAGATGTAATGTGATTCAATTAATATTAACTATTACTAATGACGGGGCCACGTGTATATAAACTAATGTATTGATATTAAAGTCTCTTTTCAAACCTTACTACAATACGGCTGTCCAGAAACAGTGATAAGTGACAATGGCCCACAATTTTCCAGCGAAGCATTCGCCACTTTTGCCAAAGCGTGGGAATTCGAGCACCGTACCATAAGCCTCTGGAATAGTAAAGCTAACGGGAAAGTCGAGGCGGCCGTAAAAGTAGCCAAGCAGCTTCTACGCAAAGCACGAGATAGCAACGGAGATATACATCTAGCTCTCCTCGACCAAAGGAATACTCCTACGCAAGGAATGACCACAAGTCCTGCTCAGGGGTTCTTAAATCGAAGAACGAAAACGTTGCTGCCAACCAAAGAAACATTGCTACGTCCAGCAGTACCATGTCCCGCGGAACAACAGCAAAAGATCAAGGAAAAACAAGAGACCCAAGCGCATTATTACAATCGTAATGCTAAAGACCTACCAAAACTGAAAAAAGGGGAGGTAGTTCGGATTAAGCCATCGAAGCCTGCGGTCCGTATTTGGGAGAAAGGTGTAGTGGTACAGAGAAGTGATGATAGATCGTACATTGTAGAGACCGCTGAAGGAACTAGGTATCGCCGTAATCGGTATCACCTCAGAAAGACTGCAGAGTCAGCTCCTGTACAAAGTGAAGTCGGGGAAGTTGATATTGAAACAGACTGCGAAAGTCCCAAGGAGGATAATGGAATCTTAGAAAAGCGACCAAGTCCAGGCTTGGAACCGATGAGAAAGGAACCAGGAACACTTAGCACAGCCAAACATCAGCCTGAGACTTCTAAGCCAGCACGTCCACAACGTGTACGCAAAACACCAGCATATTTTGCTGACTATGCACTGGGATAAACATGATAAACGTTAAAATTGACAATCTTAAAGTGTGGACACAGTCACAGACTCTTTAAGAGCACTGGCATCAGAGCCAGAGATACAACGGAAGGCGGAACTGCAAAACGGGGAGGATGTTACAATATGTACTAAATGTACGTTATAATAATACGATTACTAGTTAATAGTAATAATAGGTTTGATATTAAGTTACTTTGATTGACAGATGACTGAAGATATAAAGAAAAACAATATAGGAATTAAGGCGTGGAAACAAATGCAGAGACTAGAGAGTTTGTATATTATGTAAGGTTGATATTAAAAAGTTTGAACGTTGAGTACATGAAACACTGTGTGTAACCATATACAGTTATGTCTGCCGGGTTTTAATATTCATTTGACTATTTTAAATTGACAATTTTATATTGACTATTTTACTTATGTTGCTATTTGCTATATTTTCGTAATCAGATTTTGGTATATCCAATCATGTTATCGTGCAAACATTGCTTGGGAATCGGCTGGGTTCTGATACCATTTAAAGATTGAGACCAGAATTGAGACTTAATGTCAGATAAACTACCTGTAATATATAGAGGAACGTCGACATGTTCTCAGTCTCTTTCCAACTTACTGAAATCACATTTTTCCCTTTACTAATATTACACGATATGATCCGTGAGTCGTCTCATTGCGACCTTTGATTTTAAGTCAGGGAAGTTTTCTTGCGTGTTTACAGGCGATATTTCAGGGTTAACTAGGTCCACATTATCCTCATTCTGGTGTTCGGTTAATACTTCCGACATTTGATGTTGTAACTCGTCTTCAAGGTCACCAATAACTCTGCAGCTTCGTTGGTGCATTTTAAGACCGCGAGCCCCCTTACAGACCTTACCACAGCAACATTTAACAGCCTTGTAAGATTTAACCGGAAAATAATAATAATAATAATGGAAACTTTATTAAATGTTTTTCTTTACATACATATACAATCGTAAATCTCTCCCATGAAGGTAACTTACGGTTGGCTATTTGAATCACAATTATACTAAACTAAAATAACAGAACAAAGTGCATGCAATATATATATATATATATTTACAATGAGATAAGTCAAATTGTTAGTAAATCCGGATTTTCCCATTCCTTATTTCGGCAGCAAAAAATGTAATATGTAGTTCTAATAGCAATAGTCATCATTTTCCTAACGCAGTACATTTGTTGGTTTTTGTCAAGACCAATGCTTTCTAACATGTCTAAAAATGTATAACATTCTTCTGCAAAAATACCTAAAGAGCTGATGGAGAGATTTATAAATTTAACTTGGTTAAAATTGTTACCTAGCTGTCTCAATAATTCTCTATATTTATCCTTCTTCCGTTTTACGTTGTTTTTTAGGTTTGTCTCATAACCAGTGGTGAGTTCAACCACATATAAGGAACCATTTGAGCACGATAATAACAAATCTGGGCGATACGTATCACCAGTAAGTATTGAAGGGCTTTTGAATCCATTTAGATCAGCGTAGAGAGTAGAACCGTCAACAGTTTGTAAAGTATGAGCAAGAAAGTTCAGGACTGAATTGTGTCTCCACGTAAATCGGTCGAGATAAAACTGACATCCAGCTACTATGTGTAGTAATGTTTCAGGGCTAAGAAAGTTGTAAATGTTTTTCGGGAGCTTTGATTGGGCGATGGACCACACCTTGTTAAGCTGAGGTAAAGCGAACTTCTTGACGCTGCAGAAAAAGGATCCTTGACTGGTTAATTGGTTTAGGAGTTTGTTTTCGTGTCCAGAACGGAAATCTTTGAGAACTTCCTTAGTAGAGTTATAAGCGTCATATTGGATATTAGTATGGTTACTGGTTGCTCTCCACAGGTCGTTAGTTGATTCATTAGGAAAAGATTTTAAAGCTTTTCGGAGGACTGTTTGACACTGGATAAATTTTACAGATGGAGGATAAATACTCAGGCCAAATTTGTTATTTGTTAGAAAGACATTACTTAGTGTTCCTGATATTGGTACTTCAAGCCATCTGCGGATATATTTGTTGGCAATAGAATCGATATTTCCAGTAACCCATGTTTTAGAGAGTGTTGCGACGGTAAAGTGCCAGGCTAACTTGGACAAGACGTAGCGACTGTAGAGGAGCAGTTTATTTTTGGGGTGTAGTGGCTTTGAGTCAATATCAGACATTAGTTCATTAAGTAGGGTTGTTAGTTCAGTTTATGATTATCATTCGACATGTGGAAATCAAAGTAACGTCCTAAATATTGAAATGATTCTCCAATGGTGATTTTTTGTATTAGTTGATTGCTGATGAGGAGTTTTGGCAAGTACTGGACTGATTTTGTGATCGCTTTTTTAATGCCAAAGGTACTGCATTTGCCAACTCGGATAATCATATCGGACCATTGGCACCAGATAGAAAATCGATTTAATAGATGTTGGTTTTCGGATTCTTGGCCAGTAATTACAGCCGTGACATCAGCAAACTGGAACCAGTTGATGGGATTTAATAATTTGAAGGAAAACCCAAATTGACGGTACTTATCGTGAATTAGCTCAGTAAGGTAAGTTCTCAGATAAGGACAATGCTTGAAACTTATTATAGAAAGTTGATCAAGAGGGCAAGGAGAACCGCCAGACGATTTCATTTTGCGTATAACATTCGTAATTTGTTGATAGGTCGGGGGGTCAAGGTTAAATTGAACTTCAGGATCAGATAACTTTGGGATCCAGCTGGGAATTACAAATAGCTTGTTTGGATTAATTTTAGCCAGAGATTTAGAGAAATAAGAAAGGCAATCAGTCATGTTAAATGATGGTAATACTGCGTCTTTTCTATTGATTATATTTTTAACATAGCCCCAAAAGCTTCGTTCCAGATATTTGTTGTGATTAAAAGATTCACTGTCATTTAAGTCATCGGCGTCGTTGCTATTGTTACGGAGCCTGTCACGCAATGTACGCGATACGTATTTAATTTCACTGAGTTCACCCTTTTTGGATTTTAAATTTTGTAAGGCTTTCTTTAACTCTTTAACCGTATACTCTTTATATTTAGCTACCATATTTTTGTCGGGTACAGTTTCAGTATGTCCATAATTATTTGCAAAGTAGTTGTATATCGCGTCATTTAAAAGCTTGATTTTTGAATTTAGATCTTGAAATGTGATTGGATCATTTGGCTGGAATGCATATTTAAAATAATCATTAGCCGTTGACCATTCAGAATCATTTTTCGGGAGATTTATGCCTTTCTTCAGTTCAGGAAAACTTTCGTAATTAACTGTATTAATATCATTGCCATTGTGTTCATTTTCTGAAATATTTTCGCTGTTATCCGTAGTTATTTGCTCCTCAAGATCTGCACAAAGCTCGTCGTTAAGGCCATGTATCACTTGACAACTGCGCTGATGCATTTTAAGGCCGCGCGCCCCTTTGCATATCTTGCCACAACATTTAACAACCGTGCGACTTGACACAGGAACATTAGGGGACTGCATTACAGGCACTTGTCTTGTAGTAGCGTCAGGGGGATCTTGTTCTGCTTGGTTAATCCGTTGTTTACACTTTACAACGCCATGAATGGCGACCGAGCGAGACGAAGTCTTTATCACAAAACGAACAGACGACGCAAGTCAATAGCATGGCAATAAAACTTGAACGAATCATGATGATGATCTTCTTATGATTATAAATTTTAACAATTAGTAAGAAATACTGTGATTCAAATACAACTGACCAGCGATAAAACTATGACATGTAGCCTACAGAGCACGTCTGAACACGGCTCTGCTCGATGTAATCAATAATAATAAATATAATAATAATAATAAATATAATAATAATAATAATAATAATCAATAATAATAAATATTATAATATATAATGGAAACTTTATTTAATAATTTTCGGTTATATACTATATATATATATACAATTGTAAATCTCACTAATTAAGGTAACTTTACAATTGGCTATTTGAATCACAACTATGAACTAATCAAAATGACAAGACAGAATACATGAAAATATATAACTATACAAGACAATCAGATATTTCAAATAGTTAACAAGTCCGGACTTTCCCATTCCTTATTTCGACAGCAGAAAATGTAATAAGTACTTCGAATGGCAATAGTCATCATTTTCCTAACACAGTACGTTCGGTAGTTTTTGTTGAGACCAACATTTCCTAACATTTCTAAGAATGTAGAGCATTCTTGCGCAAAAATACCTAGGGAACTCATGGAAAGATTTATAAAGTTTACTTCGTTAAAATTTTCATCTAGTTGTTTTACTAGTTCTCTATATTTGGCTTTTTTTTCCGTTTAACGTTGTTTTCGATTTGTCTCATAGCCAACAGTGTGCTCGACCACATAAAAAGAGCCATTCGATAATGATAACAACAAATCCGGGCGATACGTATCGCCAGTTATTATTGACGGACTTTTGAATCCAGGCACATCAGCGTAGAAGGCAGAACCGTTCACAGTTTGCAAAGTATTGGCAAGAAAGTTCAGGATTGAATTGTGCCTCTACGTAAATCGATCGAGATAACACTGACATCCAGCGACCACGTGCAGTAATGATATTATTATTATAATAATAATATAATAATAATAATACTAAATAATAATAATAATTACTAAATAATAATAATAATAATAACACTTTACTTAACAAGACTTTACGGATGAGATTCATAGAAGAAACGAGATTCATAGAAGAAAAGTGAAGAGAAGGGCAACAAAGAGGGGAAAAAGAGTATTGGAATAGTTAAGGAACACGACGCAAAATCGATTAACAAAGAAGGAAGAGCTTCTCAAGGTTAAAGAAATATGGCTTCAGGAATTACGATGCCGAAAGACAAAATTGGGAAAAACAATTAGGACAAGAGACAAAAAAAATCCGAAACAACAGAATGTTTAAAGAGAACGAAGGGATGTTTTACAGAAAGACAAATAGTACCAAGGAAAGGAGAGACGTGCCGGACATCGACAAATTTGTTGAATTCTGAGCAGGCATTTGGGAAGATGAAACTAGTACTCCACACAGGCGGTGGATGAGAACATTTTCTGAGAAGATCAGGGCAAAAGTAACCAATATAGAAGAGCTAACAATCACTAAAGAGAAGTTGTACGAGACAGTTAGAAAGAGGAAGAATCGGTCAGCTCCTGGAATTGATGGAATACAGAATTTCTGGTGGAGAAAGCTCAGAGGAACGTGGAAGGCACTTGTAAGAAGTTTAATGAATGGATTGAACAACCGGAGCGAATACCAGAATGGATTACACACGGATTTAAGTGACAGAAGGGAATACAGACCTGTAACCTGCCTGAATACATGTTATAAGTTCTTGACTGGGAACATAGGTTGCTATATGAAGGAGCATGCAGAAAGAAACAACTTTTGGGATAGAAGTCAAGTTGGAACATGCTCTGGCGTATCTAGTCGACCAACTTATAGTGGATAACACAATCATGGAATAATAATAATGGAAACTTTATTAAATGTTTTTCTTTACATACATATACAATCGTAAATCTCTCTTATAAAGGTAACTTATACAATTGGCTATTTGAATCACAACTATACTAAGAAATACTGTGATTCAAATACGAAATCAACGATAAAACTATTGACATGTACGGAGCACGTATAAACGTGTCTCTGCAATAATAATAATAACAATAACAATAACAATAACAATAACGATAACGATAATAATAATAATAATGAAAACTTTATTGAATTTTTTACGTATATATACAATTGTAAATCTCACTACTGACTTAGGTAATTTACAATAGACCTTTCCCCTTATAACCAAAATTTTGATCTAGGCAAGTCTAGACAAATATTTCATCACAGCTTGAGCGTCACAAAATTAGTAATATTCCAAAGTTTCGTTGCGAAATGTTGTAAAATGAGGAAAATAGAGCCTTGCGAAGTTTGCAATTTTCAGTCATTTTGTATTACAAACGGGAAATTGCAGCCCCAACACCCGAATCGTATGTCAATTTCCCGTTTGTAATATAAAATGACTGAAAAACGGCAAACTTCGCAAGGCTATATTATCCGCATTTTACAAGATTTTGCAACAAAACTTTGGAATATTACTAATTTTGTGATGCTCTTTCAAGCTGTGATGAAATTTTTGTCTAGATCGAAATTTTAGTTATAAGGGGAAAGGTCCATTGGCTACTTGAATCACATAGTACTACATATGTACTATTTACAGTAAAAACAAGAATAAAATGGGTATATGATTATATATATATTACTATATATAGTTATTAATTTAAATGTTTAACAATTCAGGGTTTGTCCACTCTTTGTTTCGACAGCAAAAAATATAGTACGCTGCTCTAATGGCATAAGATGTCATCTTTTTTATGCAGTAATGTTGCTGCTTTTTTGTTGCTGCTTTTTATGCATTCCTATAGTGTCTAACATTTCTAAAAAGGTGAAGCATTCTTTGTCAAACACACCGAGAGAGCTCATTCATAAATTTACAAATTTAGGTATTTATATTTAGCTTTTTTGCGTTCAACGTTATTATGTAGATTAGATTCAAACCCGACAGTAAGTTCAACGACATAAAGATCTTCATTTGGAGTAATTAAGAGTAAGTCCGGTCGATATAGGTCACCGGTTATAATTGACGGGCTTTTGTAGCCGGATAGGTCAGCATAAAGTTGACATGGATTTATTGCGGTTTGAAACGTTTCAGCAAGAAAGCTTAAAATAGAATCATGTCTCCAAGTAAAGCGCTGAAGGTACGATTGGCAGCCGGCTACCACGTGTAGTAGGGTTTCAGGATACAAACAAAAGGAACATTCGGGACTTGAAGCTAAACCCCATCTTGTAAGTTTTTTTCGCGTAGGAAGAGAGTTATTTATGTAACGGACGGTGAAGTTGATAATGTTCTTTGGCAGTTTTGATTGAGCGGCAGACCAAAGTGTGTTTAACTGTGAAAAGGAAAACTTTGCAACATTCGAGAAAAATGAACCTTGACAAATTAAACGGTGTTGAAGCTTATCTTCTTGTCCAGAACGAAAATCCTTGAGAACTTCCTTTGTTGAATTATATATGTCGTACTGAATATTAGTGTGATTGTTAGTTGGTTTCCAGAGTTCTTTTATGGAATCATTTGGGGATGTTTTCAAGGCGTTGCGTAGGACAGTTTGACATTGAATAAATTTGACGGATGCAGGGAGGATATTCAGACCGAATTTGTTAATAACAATAATAATAATAATAATAATAATAATAATAATAATAATAATAATAATAGTAATACTTTACTTAACAAGACTTTACGGATAAAGTACAGCTTGTTTCCAATCTGGTAATATTCAAATCATATTACCTATATACTTTATAAAGGCCTGTTGACACTCTAGTGCAATTTTCTCCTTTTGGTGCATGTGAACGAGTAGATGAGTTTTGTACTCTCATCTGAAATAATTTATCCACTCATTCACATTCATCAGAAGAAAATTACACCTAAAATAAAAGCAAAAATTGCAAGTGGAAACAGGGCTTATTGTGTAAAAATAAACCTACAGTAATTACATGGAAAATGCATGCATCTACCTGACAGGGTCAAAATAAATGCATTTCATGCTTACAAACCTTGTAGTTCATTAGTAATTCACCAAGAAATATTGCAACGTTGCAGGCTCTTTCAGGATTCGTGTGAATTACATCGTTGAATCTACTATATTCACTACTACATCTATTAAAATTAGCAAGATTCATAAAAAATGTTTAAAAATAAACAAAAATATGAGAAAATTGTCTTATACCAACCTGCGGTAAATATATACTCCAACTTTTATTTAGGTGTTTAAAATTGTTTGGTCAAACTGATTCTACATCCAACTATATTGCATCATAAAATCTATATGATATTCATTTGTCTCCCACAGGGGCCTCAATACAAGCCACATATATTGTACAGCACACTCCCTATCAGAGTTTTTCAGTGACTGCTTACATTGTGAATAGATAGAACCGGACCTGACGTGAAGCAAACCAAGGTAGACTGTGAGCTTACAAATGGCGCTTTAAGCAGCCGCTATTAGTCCATACCTCATTAATGATCTGCCCCCATGACCTATGTGTTTAACCCACCCTGTCAACTATCTGTTTAACTCACCCTAACATTCTCTGAATTATCTACATAGAAGTGACTAAAAGGAATACGTACTGTAAATCTTTAGGTTTAGGCATGTAGATTATTTCATGAATCATCGTCTATCAAGAATACTTTACTGAGGTCAACACCTCATGATATTCGACATGTTGTGCAAAGAGTTGTTCATTCAAACAAAACAATACACCATATATCCTCCATTACCCCCTCTTAACAACTATAAAGTCAGTGCAAGATACGTAGCTAGTATAGATACGGCTTATAGCGCTTTACCTTTTTAGAAATACCACCCGAAATTCCATGTGTTCTGTCGTTTTCGGAACTAAGTACTTATCCAGGTGATTAGCCAGTTTTGATCCAGTATACTGGAAGTTTTGCTGTGATACACACTATAAAACAAAATGTATTATGTACAGTATTGTTTTCCTCACATACATTTAGGGCAGTACAAATTCTACTGTACACATGCACCTGGACCTGCAGCAACTCAAGACTTAATACTTCTATTAGTAATTAGAGCAATCAATAAATACACACTTTACATAAAGAAGACGTTTTGAAGATCTCAAGATGACCTACCTTTTCAAATAGTAAGTCTGATAGTTTTATCATGTCGTTTTCAACTCTAATACAAACTGATAAGTAGTTTTCCATTAATATTGATAGTTCATCTAATAAACCTGGATCTTTTGTAAGTTGTTTTATTTTGTTATTCACAAAATGTTCTATTACTTGAAGTCTTTCCTCTGCTGTTTCTTCATGTGTAAAGAAACCTTTACCTGGCACAAACTCTGGGGCATTTATTGCTGAAGCTAAACGACTTGATAAAGTCTGTGCAGGATTAAACGTTTGTTGAGATGTTTTTGGTATAAATACTGGATTATTGACTGCTCTCAGTAAAACGTTGTCTACATTTTGACTTTTAATTTCTTTTGTCGAGTTTTCAACTTTCCTTTCTGTGCCAACATCTGAAAAGAAAGAAAAAGATATTAGATAAAAAGGCATACAAAATTAATATGAAGGTAAAAAGGGATATAAAACAATATAATGGAGAGAAGAAAGATATGAGAATGAATGGCCAAATAAAGAATCATAAACAGGAGAACAAAGAAAAAAACAATAAGAAAAATAAAGAATGATATAGAGGGAACATACAGTAGAAGGAAGTAGAGAGAAAAAGCATTATAAGAGAAAGTTAAACCAAAGGAAGATTTCCAAGAAAACTAGGGATCCAAGGATAGTGCAAAGTTTCAAATTGAAAAAGACACTGCAAGAACTGTATAGGGTCTCCGACAACCTAGAACAGTAGCAGGCACGTTACTCAAAAATGTAGATTAGAACAACTTTTTTAAGAGATAAAGAATTCGTTATCACTCCCTTCGATTTCGTAACTCGTTTATTAAATGTTGGACTGCAAACGCTCTTATTTGGGCATGACGACTTTCTGTTCTGTAAAGGTGATGGCTTACACTACGAAATAAACAGTTACCATCACCAACAATGTTTACTGGCTTTCGTCCTATTCGAGCTAGTCTTGTGAGTTGTGGTCATTGGTCAATACTGACATATTTGAAATATTTACGAGGACATAAGAAATTTCTGTCAGATGTCTTTATTCTTTGCAATATTACATTTACTAGTGCCCACAACTTTAAGTTTAACGCTGTTTGACTTAAACAATTTATGTTTTCTAGTTCTAGCACGCTTTGTACTGTTTTTCAGACTTGCCAAGTTGTGCATTGACATTGACAATTGTTTACGTCTTAGACTTAGCATGAAACGGCTTCCTAAATTTCCACATATATGCATTTGTTTGTTTCTGAATTACATATTTTCGGTATCGTGTGAAAAGCAAGATGATTTAGGAATAGACTGCCTAATAAACCCGTCTTATTATCAAATAAACTAACTTTCTAACGGGAATTCTAGAGGGCTTTCGACCTCGGCTTTTGCCCGCGTTAAATGTTTACTGCGAGATCTATACTTCGACTAAAGGCTGTTTTCCACTAGGCGACATTTTTCGACCGAACCGAATCGAAATTTCTCTTTGTTTCATGAGCTCTCAAGCAGAACTAATTGTAAAAAGACAAAGAGAAATTTCGTTTCGGTCAAAAAATTCCGCCTCGTGGAATCAGGCCTTTAAGGCCTGTTTTATACGTCGAATTTCGGTCGCGTTGAATACAATTCAAACAATAGATAATGAAGCTTAATTAGGTTATCATCTCATTATCTATTGTCTTAATTGCATTCGACGCGACCAAAATTCGACGTATAAAACCGGCCTAAAATTGTTATATGGACAATTAGATGGCAAGGGTAATACTTCTTTCATTATACTTGCATGTGTGTTGTTGTATTTTGGTAATGCAGCAGAGTAACATGTTTCTGAACAACAAGTCTAATTGATCTTTGTAGGCCGTAGGATGAGCATCCAAAAGATGCTTAGAAAACGGATTCCGTTGCACCCCTCGTGGAACGACATAATTTTCACATGAATCAATAGATAACAAGACGCTCAGCGGAGCGTTAACTCGCTGGGGGGGGCTATACAAGTAGGGTTGGGCGATATTTCGATATTTTGATTTATCGCGATATTTTCAATCACGATTATCGTATCGAAGGCAGATACTTGAGCGACGATATATCGAAATTATCGTCATGCTCGATGACTATCGTGATATTGCTTCACATTTGTATATAGCTGTTATAAAATCCTAAAAAATTCTTTCAATTCCCTAGAAAATATAGTTTTTAAAAGAATTAAAACTATTTCCTGAATTAAATACGAATTTTATACGATACAAAAGCTAATATTTATGTATTTATAATCTGCTGAACAATGGAATTGCAGGTTTTGCTTGTGCTGTGTGCCCACAGCATTTGTGCCAGCGGAGACACAGTAGGCATCTGTAGAGACAGCGCCAGCGGAGACACAGTAGGCATCGAACGGTGTCGCTTTCTTCCCAAAATATATAAAAGCAGCGCAGCCAAACGTATAAACTTGCGATTTGCGAAGGTTGTAACCTGAACAAAATAGGGCCTGACACAGAATAGGGCCTGACACAAAACCCGAATAGGGCCGGAATAGGGCCTGACCAGAATAGGGCCTGACCCTATCACAGAATAGGGCCTGACACAAAATCTATCTAAAGTGTGGGATTCCCGTCCACCTGGTGGACGGGAAATCTGATTGGTTGATCAGCATCATGAAGGATTTTGATTGGTTGCAAGTTCACATAAACAACAGTTTTAAAGATAGCTCGGTCAAGGCGAGAATTAATATAAAGGTCAAACGCACGTAACAAATTCCATTATCGATTTCTTCGAATTTCTTTCCTTTTATGCTTTATGGAAGAAAATAAATCAAACAAACAGTATTTTGAAAGGGCTTCATCAAAATCTTTGACGAATTTTGGACACACAACGACGCTGAAAGAACAGCCAAACTAGTCATGTATTCGAAAGCTTGTTGTTGACAGCCAAGATGTTCTGCCAACTTGCTTCGCCGGCAAAAGTCTTATTTTTAATATCAGGTCCTACCGGCGTTGTTTTCTGAGCTACATCGCCTTCTTCGTGGTATGATTGAGAATTTAATTGTTGCTATTATTAGCCCGTTAGTCGTTAGAGTATATCCGCGTCCAGCAAGTTGAGACCTTGAGAAAGCTTGGCAGTCAAGCCGTGCACAGAACTGACTAATTAAATCTTTGTTTGCTGTTCGCCTGTTCGGTTAAATAGAGAAACTGACTCTTAATATAAAAGTACCTTGAATTTTTAAGTTTAATTAAAAAGCAAAATGCTCTGCGGACATGTTCATGAGAATATAATTTTTTTGTGTAACGAAATCTACAACACTTGTCAATCATATTGCATGTGTGTCTAAAAATAACATGTGGGCGTCTCACGGTCTAGACAGGTTTTGTGTCAGGCCCTATTTCAAATTAGGGCCTGAACTTCAGGTTACGAAGGTTGCTGTTTCCGTGCGAAATTCCTTGTAAAATTGTTCAATTTTCACGAATTTTCCTCAAAATGCAGGGTTATTTATGGATAATTTGGGTAAAATTGGCAAGAGTCTTATGGATAATTGGGGGGAAAATTAGGCAGCTCATTAATATTCTATTTTGTGGCTATCAATCGGAGAAAAATGTGAGCCGAAACCTATACTCGTCCGGGGCACAGTGCCCCAGCAGCGAGTAAAAACTTACTTTATTAGAATCCGTTGCTCCCCAAGCGAAACAGGTGCACAATTGGGAAAAATATTCCTCCAAAGTTTGATATTTTCCCGCTACGAAATATTCGAACCGCCATTGTTTTGGTAGCAAATACGCATGCGTGTTTCAGCCAAACTCGCACTGCGCACGCGCAGACAGGAAAAATGGATTTTCCCTGTGGTTTTCCCCGATTTCCCCCCGTGAAAACAACAAAATAAAATCACGGAATAGAGATCAAACCTTGTAATATTAACGAATGAACAACACACACAAATTAAATATTGTTTAAAACACCTTCTTGTACATTTTGCTTGCTCATCTGCTAAATAACTTCAATTTATTGGCTATAGTTTCAAAATACGGTTATAATGTTTAATTCTACTTATTAACATCCTAATTCAATACAAATTTGTGTGAGGTAAAAACCCACCTGATCAAACAGGACGGAGAATATATAAATATATACATTCAATTCACACAATCAAGGAACAAATTAAATATTTCGCTTAACTATTAAAGCCTTTTGGCCAAACTTACGGGCATTGTCGTGGAAATCAGTTTGTGATTTTCAATGTTTGGTCAAATGTTTCCCTGTATCCCATATCTGGAAACATTGGCTTTTAATGCAGAACAAAAGTTGCTTCCCGGAGAGCAAAAATATTTCCTACCAAATTCAGAAACATTTGATGAAACACTATTTCTCCATTTGCCGACGCTGGCAAGACACATACCGAAACATAACATTGGTAAGACAAATATAAATACGACAAATATCTTGCGCAACAATATTTCCCAGTTTGTCCCGGGCTCAGAGGCCGCGGAAGCATTTCGAAAGTGAACGGGCATTGGCCAAAAGGGGCACTTTAGTTTTGTATATGACCAAAATCAAACGATTTCATGTCGTTCACAAGCCGAACGAAAATTTTTGAAAATATGGAATCTCTATAACGTCGGAAATGGCCTTTACAGAGTCTTTACTACCGCAAAAGGGGCACTTTCTTTCCAGCAAAAGAGGGCGTTCATTCAAGAAATACTTTTTTCGTTCTGTAAATGGGGCACTTTTTTCACTTTTAAA